GTCTTTGTGACGTTACTCTGCAGAAATGAGCAAATATGATGACAAATAAAAAATATAGAGATAATATAGATTGTACTTAAGCTGCCTCTGCGTGGTGTTGTCTGGGTGACTTCTCTGACCCGATTTTAAGTTTTTGCTCGTTGCAGGGACTGATGCTTGATGGGTTGGGATGTTTTGTCCTCAGGAGGAAAGGTCCAGATGTCTGTAGGAGCTGAGGGAGCAGCATCGCTGCAGCACTCTGGGCTGAGACACCACTCATGGCTCAAGGTACGTGTAAAAAGCCTGTAGAAATGAGTTCTACCTTAGGTTCTCAGTGAGAAATACCTGTGGGAGAGAGGGGGCTGCTCTCTGACATGGCCCCATACCAACAGTGGCTCTGGGCTTTTCTTCCATGAGCACCCTTGGGGCCAGGGCAGAAAGTGGCAGAGGGAATGGGAATGTTAAACCCCCAAAACATCCTGAGTGCTGCAACCTGCTGAGGACCAGGCCCACCTGGGCATCAGGGGAATGTGGTCGACACTTCCACCTCAGCTCTGAGGAAGGGTGGTTTTCCACACAAGAAGGTCAGGGTTCACCTCTGGGTAAGTTGCCTGCCACATTTCCTTCCCCTTCTGCCACCCACAGACACAAGCTCACTCACTGCTTTCCTACTCACTGTTCCCAATTCAGGCAGTGAGGTCACTTGGCAGGGAAGATTTTCGGCAGAGCTGCCCTGATTGCACCTACCTCTCTTCCAGCATCCAGTCCAAGGGCAGTCCAGAGGGAATTTTTCTAGTGAAAAGCATTATTTTTCCTAGGAAAAGCTTTATTCGGCACAGCTGCACTGCTTCTGAAAGCAAGTGCTTTGGGGAGTGATGTTCAGCATTAAGCTTGCTTTCCAAGCTCCTTTTCTTTCAGGAACTATAACTGTTCTAAGGAGTCATGAGAGGTTCCCTGTCTCATCTTTTTTGGGCACGTTCTTGAACATGTCCTGCAGCAAAGCTAGAGGGAGCTAGAAAATGTGGTCTCACTGAGATACAGCTCTGTTCCAAGTTCAAGAATGACTAAACACACTCTCCCTGTGGAAAAAAAAAGAACTTGCTTTATTTGTAAAGTCTACAAAATACAGAGAAGTCGGGTAGGACACATACTGTAAGTCAGAAAATAAATAAGTTTTTTTTTTTTTGCTCTATATAAGATGTGATTTGCATATATAAAATATAAAGTACGGCTCTGTACCAACATCCTGGCTGTGCCGAGAGGCGGAATGGCAAAGAGGACGTGAAAATAACTTATGTTCGTGCAATAAATAAACCCAAGGGGAGTTGGGGTGGGGGGATGCTCACCACAGTGCCACCTCCACAAATGGCAGGCACCTCTTTCCAGGGAGAGATGGAGGCTGCAGCCGAGGGTGGCTGGCGTGGGAATACCCAGGCAGAGGCAGAACAGAGGGGCAGGGGAATCATCCACAGCAGCAGATGCCGAGACAGGTCTGCCTCCTGTTACCTCCCCTGTGCTGCCCATATTTAGCAAACCCAGCTCTTCCCCAGCATTTCAGCCTGCCAAAGAGCCGGTTGTCCCACACAGGTGTCCAAGCTGGAGGAAAACCAAAGGGAGGAGCTTACCTGCCTGCCAGGCAGCTCCCAGGAGCTATCTGTCTGTCCTTCCCACCTCCTGCACCTCCACCCCTCTCTGTGCCTCCGCAGCTATGTCCCTCAAGGGCCGGGAGCACCTTTCCATGGGCTTTATAGGCGGTGAGGCACTGGGGAGCGCTTGGTGGGGCTGTACAAGCTGGCCTGTGCTGAGCAAAACAGTGTTTATCTCTGCTCCAGCTGCCTCCGCTTCCTTCCTGCCGGTGCTGCTGCATTTCAGAGACACCCGGCCAGGCTGAGTGTCCCGTCAGCAGGAAGAGGCGTGAAGGATGTGTGTGATAGGGAAAGATAAAACAGCACCACTGTTCTCCCCTTTGTGGACAACAGCCTGGGCTGACCCACTCATGTTGCCCAGCTCTCCCTTGCCCAAGGGACCCTCCATCACTGTCACCTCTGGGGTCCCCCTGCACCACATGCTGCTACGGTGCTTTCCCATTCCATTCACACTTACCAGACATCAACCTGCAGCTACTTTCTGTCCCACCTTGACCTACCAACCTTCCCTTGCCATCTCCATCCCCAGAGACTTCAGCCATGCTGCCACCTCCCTCCCTGCTCCAGCCGTGGTCCAAGTTGTGTGCCCAATGCTGATATCCCTCACCTATGCCTTCTTCCCCTGCACTGCAAAACCTCTCTCCCCTCCTTTCCCTCTCTGGCTCCTGGGACTGCCTGGCCTGCATTCAGCTCTCCCATGCCCTCTCCCTAAAAGGACAAACCTGATGTTTTTCCACCAGCTTGGAGCCATGGGATATTTCCCCACTGCTGCCTGTGTAGGTTTGCTCTCTCCTGCCTGCACCCCCAGGAGGGGAGGGGGCTGTGGGGGCCACCAGTGGGGTCATGTCCTCCACCCCAGCACCCACACTGCAGCAGCCCTCCCCACGTAGGGGAGCTGGAGGTCAAGGGACAGGAGAAGGAGGATTTTGGGTACAAGTCCCAGCAGGGAGGAGGTCGAGGAAAGGCTGGGAGGCAATTCATGGGGGAAGGTGCCCCAGGGACGACTGTGCCCAGCCGGGGGATGGAGGCCAGCACTAGGAGTAGGCGGCCTGGTTGGTGCCGGACTTGACGATGGTGATGACACTGGCGGTGGCTGCCTTGGCAGTGGGCCCATGGGTGGCCACGGTGCGGGCAAAGCCCTGCAGGGCCTCGTACTTGCCACGGAGAGTGTCGAGCTCCAGGCGCATGGCAGCATTCTCCCGGGCCAGCTTGTCCACCTCCCACTCCAGCTCCATCTTCTGTTTCTGCAGCTCTTCCTTCTGGCAGACGCGCTTCACCCGGCAGCTGGCAGCGTAACCCCGGTTCTTCAGCGTCCGACGGCGCTGCTTCAGCCTCGCAACCTCCTCCTTGGAGAGGCCCCGCAGGTGGTGGTTGAGCTCCCGCACCGACAGACCCATCAGCTCCTCATCCGACAGCAGCGGAGTGTTCTCCCCTAGCTCCCGCTTCACCTGCCGGAGAGAGGGGTGGTCGTCTGAGGCACCCCAAACCAGCCCCCTGCCTCCCAAACCCCTGTTCTCACTGGTACTCACCTTCAAAGCCTTGCTGGAGAGCCCGTCTGCAGCCATCGTTCCCTCACGCTGGCCCTGTTGAGCAGCCAGTAGAAAAGCTGGTTACAGCCAGCCCCATGGCCCTCACCACAGAAGAGAGGACACCGGCCCTGCTGGTTCCCTGCCCACTGCCCACATCCCCCCCGCCCCGGGTCGTGTGACTCATTCCACTCGTTTAAAAAAAGGACGTAGTAATAATATTAATAGCAACGATGACTGCAAGCAATAATAATAATAATAGAGGAAGGCTGGACCTCCCATCCCTCCTTCATCCCATCACGAGATGGTGGGGATGCTGCTCTGCCCACGGGACCCAAAACGCCCGAGCCGGCTGTTGGGAGGCCAAGGCTTCCCCGCGGGGAGGAAGCCCGCGACGGATCCGCTCGAGGCTGAAGGGAAAGTAAAAGTAGCAGCCCCACGGAGCGTCACAGTGGCGAGGCCACCCAGCCGGGACCCGCGCGGAGGTGCCGCCCCTTCGCCCCGGAGGGCGCGGGCACCGCGGCTCCCGGCCCACGGATCGGGCGTCCACACGCTCGGGGGGCGAAGGGTCGGGGCCACGCAGGTGGGCGGGGGAGAAGTGGCCTCCCCGTGATTCAGCAGCACAGGGAGAAAGTCACCGAAGCGGCGCCTGTCCCCTCGTCGGTGTCCGGTTCTTCCCCGTCCCGGGACTCGGAGAGCGGGAAGGGGTCCGGAACCCCAGGCTGCAGCCCAGGAGTCTCTCCCCAGCTCGGGGAGCTCCGTCCTCGTCAGGAGAGCCCTCGGAGGGGCGACTGGGGCCGGGGTAGAGCCGGGAACGCCTCGCGAGGGATGAGGGGCTGGAGGGGGGCGGTGGGGAAGGTGGAGCCGGGGCGGCTGAAAGCTGATGCAATCCGGGCCGGGGAGTCGCCGCCGGAGCCGGGGGAGCGGCGGCGGATCCCTCCAGGGCGGTGGCTGGGACTTGGGAGGAAAGAGCGGACGGCGCCGGGCGCGGACAACCTCCCCCCTCGCCCCGTCCGATCCCGTCCCGTCCCAGCCCCAGCCCCGGTTCCCGCCCTCGGCGGCGGCGGAGCGGCCTCCAGCCGGTGCCGGACCCCGCCGCCTCCCTGTCCCGGCCGCCCCGCAGGGGGAGAAGCGGAGCGGGGAACGGGGGTCCGCCCGGCCGGCGCTCACCTGGCGGCTGCGGCCGTGCCGCGGGGCCGGTGCCGATCGGGGCGTCGGGCGACAGCTCCAGCCCCGCTCCCCGCGATTACTCACCCGCGGATTCTTTTCATTCATAAAAACACAGTCATGCGGTGACGTCACCGCGCCGCGCCCCCTCCCCGCCGCCGCGCGCGGGGCGGGCGCTGCTCTTAAAGAGACCGCTGCCCCTGGAGAGCCCCGGCGTGACCGCCCTCGTCGCGCACTGCCGGCGTATTAAACACGCCGCGGTACGAACGCGGGCAAGCTCTAACAGCGCCGGTTACAACCTCGACGCGAGGACGACGCACGCCCGGTGAACGGCCATGCCGGGAGCGGCGGGGCCCACCGAAATGGGCCGCTGCCGCTTTCAGAGACGCGGCCCCGCCCCTACCGCCCCGCCCCTCACAAAATGGCGGCCCCCACCCTTCCGCCCTCCTCTCCTCGGGAAATCGGCGGGTGCGGCGCGTGCCCCGCCCCCACGGCCCCGCCCCGGCAGCGGCGCCGCTGATTGGCCCGTCCCAGGGGGCGGTGCCACTGATTGGCCCGCCCCGGGGGGCGGTGCCGCTGATTGGCCCGCCCCAGGGGGCGGTGCCGCTGATTGGCCCGCCCCGGGGGGCGGTGCGCGCCGGGGCTCGCGCGGGGGGCGCTGGGGGCCCGTCGTGCTTTGCCCGGCCCCGTCCCAGCGTCCGTCCCCGCTCCCATCCCCATTCCCGGCCCATTCCCGGCCCCGTGTCACCCCGGCGATTAGGGGTTCTCCTACGCAGGCGCTGAGTCACGCAGCCTGTGGAAGGGCAGCGGCTGGGCGGAGCCGGTGGCCTCGTTGCCCTCGGGTTCAGCCGCCCGAGGCTCCGGGAAGATGCAGTTCCTGGGGCGGCTGGTGAGCACCATCAACAGCGTCACGCAGATATTCAGCAACCCGTACCGCGTGAAGGAGGTGCCGGCCGCGGAGTACGCCGGTCACACCTGCCTGCGGCAGGAGGGCAGGGTGGCCCTGTACAAGAACAGCCTCGCTCGCTCCTGGGATTGCCTCCTGGTGAATCCACAGAGCCCGCAGGTCGCTTTCCGGTGAGTGGCAGACCTTTAGCCATCCCTACTGCAGAGGGAGGCCAGAGACCCGGTGTGGCTGATGCCGGCACTGGTTCACAGCTGCGGGGTGATGTGTTTGAGCAGCGGGTGGCTGTGCGCGGCTGGAGGAGCTGCCTTAGAAACGGGACAGGGTCCAAGCGCTGTGGCAACACGCAGCTTTGAAATAGTTCAGGGCATCCATAGGTACATGTATCTCCAATCACACCTGTTGCAGGTTCAGCATCTGGGTACTTCAGACCAAAACCTAACACTCCTCAGGAGTGGGGAGATGCTCTCACCTAATGAAACGTTCTTTCTGCTTCCCTTGGAACAAGCATGATACTAGCTGAGGAAGAACAGGAAGGTTCCCACCGCTGCTTTTTGGAGAAGAGCTGTTCCTCTCAGAAACATGGGGTCAGGGTTGTTCCTTTGAGCAGGACCAACCCTGTGTTTGCCTTTCTTCCAGGCTTTTCCAGCTGGACAACGAAGCAGACGCCCTGGTGCTCTTTGAGCAATATGCCCGGCAGCTGCGCCCTTTCTACGAGAGCTCGTGCCAACCCTTGTCCCTGGAGGAGCTCCAGCAGCTCAGTGACCTCCTCCGCAGTCACCCCAGCTGGTCCGCGGCACATGTCGCCGTGGAGTTTGGCCGCCGGGAGAGCTTCCGGCACAACCACATCCTGAGGCAAGGAGCGGGGGGGGCCCTGGTGCTGGGAGGGCAGGCTGGGCCGGGCTGTGTTAGAGTATCCCTTCTTGACGTGCCAAAGCAGCACAGGCTGCTTCTTAATGCCTGTGGTTCCTACAGAGGCAACTTTGGGAGTGCTGGCCTTGCTGCGCCGTGCCTCGGTGGCAGAGGTGGTGGCAGAGGGTCCTGGTGGCCTCTGGTTGGCGGGTTTCAGGCTCCTGCTGCAGAGCCCAGAGCTCTTGTGTTTGAGGGAAAAGGTTGAAGTGTCCTGCTAGAGATGCTGGTCAGATTATTGCAGCCCCTGTGGAGATGCTCTTTGGAGGGGATTGTGTTTGAATTTGTAAACCACAGGAGGACTGTCTGGAAAGTTTTTGGCCACAAACCCTCGCTCACTTTCCATGGTGGTGTTCACTAAGGATAGGGAAGACTAGTGAGGAGTTAGGGGACTGGAGGGCCCTGCTAGGTTGTTGACTGTAAGCTGTCTTCTGCCTGCCTTTGTGCAGGGAGAACTGATCCCATACAGAGGCCAGAGGAAGAAGCACCATGTCAGGGACAGACTCCAGGGCAGGGCTGCCTGATGGCCCTTCCCTGTGGTTCTTCCCTGGCAAGAGGCTGGGCTTTTGTGACCCTCATGGTTCACACCAGATGGGGCAGATAGGGCAGGTATGTCTGTATCAGCTCCTGGAGCAGCTGCGCGTCCTCCTCCTTGCAGCCATTCCTTGTCCTCACGCCGACTTGTCTCTTGCAGCTGTGTGAACAGCACGGACAGCGAGGATGGCTGCACCCCGCTGCACCTGGCGTGCCGCAAGGGAGACATGGAGTGTCTGCTGGAGCTGCTGGAGTGCCACGCACGGGTGGACATTACTGACAGGAACGGGGAGACGGTTTTCCACTACGCCGTGCGAGGGAACAACCCCCAGATCGTTGAGGTGGGGGCAATTTGTAGTCCGGGAGAAAGTGGGACCAGAACGGGTCCTCTCTGTGCTATCAGGAGAGAGACAGGAAAACATCTGCAGATGGGAGAGGAGAAAGTAATTTCCCCCTGCCTAGTTAATGCTTGAGTCTGATATCAGCCTCTTATTTCCCCTCTTTACTGGTGCTGTTTCCCGTAAAGGGGCTCCAGATTCCACCCTGCACTGGAACAAGGATATTAAGCAAGTTTCCTCAGAAAGGGTCCTTGGCTGCTATTTGCATCAGACTTTCATCCTGCCTTTCTTCAGGCCCGTGGCTGCCCCTTCCCTCTCTCCTCCCTGCAGGGTGTTTGGTTTCGGGCAGAGTGCTCCTGTAGGGAAGTGTGTCTTCGCATTGCCCTGGGTGATCATCCATTGCTCACAGACTGAAGGACAGTTTGGAGCTGCCCTGGGCTCTCCTGAGCTGCAGGACCTGTTGTTTGAATTGAGTGGCTTTGCACAGGGGACAGCGATCAGAGCCTCAAGGCAGAGACACTCTGAAACCAGAGGTGTTCTCAATTGCTGAGAAGTGCTGGGCAGAGCGATGGGGTTTGTAAGGGTGTGGGGGGCCTTACATGTGGTTCCTGAGATCCGTCAGCTTCCCAAGACTCAGTGGTAGTCTGAGACTGACTCTGCTATGGCTGCACCCCCAGTATTTTCCGAATACCTGTTGTGACAGCCCTCCCTCTGCCCTCCAGACTGTACTGGGGTTTCCTGATGCGTGATGGGGGAGGAATGAGGATCAGGGCTTGCCATGGTGTGGAGCAGGGCAGTTAGGAACTTAGTGTTAAAAAGGTATCCTCTTTATTTCTCTGAAGGCATCAACTTGGCTCGTTGTTACAGAAATACTTCCAGGTCTGATCAGTCTCATATCTGTTTCTTTTCTCTATTGATTTCTTGCTAAACCAGAGAAAAGAAACTAAAATCCCACTTCTCTCTCTTGTATGTACCAGGGCTTGCAGGGTTTCCCCAGTACAGCAGTGGGATGTTTTCATGTAACAATCCAGCCAGCAGGTAACAGGTCTAAAATTTACAGGGAGAATAGGAAAATTCCTTCAAACATACCCCCACATGTATGTTTTAAGCAGAATGCTGTTTTCATCTGAAAGCAGCAGTGGGTTTGGAGGGGAGATTGAGCTCCTGCCAGCTGATGGGGCTGCAGCAGGAGGGAAAGCTACTGGTTTCGATTTCTGCTCTTGATTGGGCTGTGCTTGACTCATGGTGAGATGGTGGGAGTCTGCTGGACTGTGTCAGTCAAGGTGGTGTGAGCCCTTTTTGGCTGAGGAGTGTCTCAAAAAGACCTGGGCCAGAGGAAGAGGTCACAGAGAGCTGCCCTCTGGGGAGAGAAAACGAGGAGTGCTTCCATAGCTACTGTGTTGCAAGGAAGTGTGGAGAGGACAGTCTGGAGCATCATGAGGAGACCAGTGCTCCAGAGTCTGTCCTCTCAGCTCAGGAAGAGGGACTGTGCTCTTCCATGTCTGTCTGTTTGTTTATGTACTCTCTCCTCTTTCCAGCTCCTGGGCAGAACCCCAACTACTGGCTTGGACCACCTGAACCACGAGGGGCTGACGGCGCTGCATCTGGCGTGCCAGCTGGGCAAGGAGGACATGGTGCGGTCCCTGCTGAAATGCTGTGCCAGCTGTAGCGTTGTGGGCACGCTGGGATACCCCATCCACACAGCACTCAAGTTCTCCCACAAGGGGTACGTAACTACCTGGGCTGCCATTACATGGCTCTCCCTGCAGTCTGGGGACCTGTCTGCTGGCTCAGCGCTGTCCAACACTGGACCTCTTTCGGGGCTGTGCTCAGTAGTAAGATGTCTTGTGCAGTCCTCTGCTGCGTCACTGAACTGGCAAATGAACAGGGAAGTGCTGGTGTGGGAAAGAAAGAAATGCTTTCAGAAGAGAAAGGCTTTTCCCTGAATTAATATATTATTCAGTATTAGACATCAGGAGAAAGACAGATTTCAAAAAACCTTTTGTGAAATACTTTTCCTCAAAATGAGCTGTGAGAAGATGATTTACCAATGCTTAAATAGCACTGCTAATTGATGCACCTCTGTCTTTGAGTGCTCTGATCCTAATAACCTTTCCTTGCAGAGCCTAGTTTTTCCCATCTCCTATAGGCTGGAGGTACTCTTGACTCTTAATAACACACTCCAGAACTGAATCAAAAGAGCCGCAGTGTTTACTCTCTTGTTTGGTTTTCCCTGGAGAAATTTGATTCCCGTTGTATATGAGTTACAATACTTAATGTTATAGAGTGTTTGAGCTCTGCAAATAAGGCTCTCAAGCCAACCTTGTCTGCAGCTAGCTAATTTTTCGGCATTTTGAAAAGCACTTCCCAACACTGGAAACACATTCACAAGCCCAAAATGTGCTTAGGTCACCGAGTTTGTGCTGGGGTTTGATCTCTTGTGCAGGGTTTGTTTGGTGGTGTTTTAGAGAGGAGAGCATATGCTTATATTTTCTAAGTCTACATACACCCCATTCTAGGCATCAGATACTGGTCTATTCACAATAGGTGTGATTTTTCACTCATAGAGAAGTATGCATTCTTAATTTCAGCAAGTATTTAACTATTTCAATTTTATCCCGATGTTTCCATGGAAAGAGAGGAGAAGAGAAGAATTTCCTCTCGGGTCTTGAGAGTTTCCAGAAATGCTTCCAGAGAAGCATCCAGATGTTGCTCCACAGCTTGAAATTGGGAAGGGATTCTCCTGCTCTGAACACATACTGCTTGTACGCTTCCTGTTGCACCCACCCTTTCTGTAAAGAGGAAAATAAAAGTGCAGCTGATGAACTTGCAGGTGTTGCAGAGACCCTGCTGCTGCTGAAGGGTTTCCTGTCTTTCCTCTGGGTGAAAGGCAGGTGCTGATGTGGGCGGAGGTCTTGAGTGAAGACAGCAGCCACCCATCTTGTCATCTCATTGTCTGCCAGGTGTGCCCAGGCCATCCTTGAGGTAGATGCCAACCAGGTTTGCTCCAAGGACCCACGCTATGAAGCTACTCCACTGCACTGGGCGAAGAAGGCAGAGGTAAATGGAGCCAATCCATGGTGAGAGCCTGTGCTGCCACTCAGCATGCAGTTAATTCCTCCTGCTGTTAACTTGTCCCTTTCCAAGTGCATGTGGAGATCCCTGGGAGTGTCAGAGCCCAGCCAGCAGCCCAGTGTTTGATTCCCTTTGCCCTGTGCCGATCAGTGCTGTTTGCCATGGGGGACAGAGCAGTGGAACCTTACAGTGAAATAACCTGGTTGGGTCATCCTTAGTACTTCATCAGTGGCTGTGAAACAGCCAGCTTGTCCCTTTTCCCTTTTGTTGAGGAAATTGCAGCACTGTCCCTGAAGCACAGTTGCCCTGGGAGGGAGCTCTTTTCTTGTTACCTGACAGTTTCCTGGGAGCAAACAAATCAATGCCTTAAAGACTGCAGGGAAAGTGTGAGGTAGGGACAGGGTGGTGGCATGTGTGTGGCGGTCCATGTTCTACCAGAGATGAGCAGGTCAGTGATGTACCATGCTGGAGCCACCGGAATGGTGCTTGTTGCAAGCAGAGGGCTTTCCTATAAGACTACTCTTCTCCCTCCTCCAGTATCATTCCTGCTCAGAAATGTTCTGTGGAATTTCAGAGCAGACCTAAATTTACCTGGCTTATAAAGAGAAGTTCAGGGAGCAAACTTTTTCCTTCTAGTCTGAAAGGATCTTGGCCTGAGTAAGAACTGTTTTTTTTCTCAGTTGATCTCAGCCAGTCGTTACAGTTGCACATAAATGCCAAAGCATCCAGAAGCTCTAGCCAGATTGCAAAACCACCAGTTAGTTCTGTGGTAAAAGACCCAGAAACCCCATCTCCAGTGCTTGGAAAATTCAGCTGGCATCTGCCAGCCAACTATATTCAGCCTAAGGCTCTCTCCTCTTCCCCTGCTTTGCTTGCCGTGAGGCCTGGATGGCTTGAGCGCCCAGGTGGTTGTCCTCACGATTGCTTTATCTCTTCCTGACCTGGCACCTGCACGTTGGGCACAGATGACACGGCTGCTGCTGGAGTACGGCTCCCCAGTGAACGTGGCCAGCCGGACGGCTGACATGGCTCTGCACATCGCGGTGCAGAGGGGACGCTTCGACTGCGCCATGGTCCTGCTGACACACGGCGCCCACACCAACGCCCGCGGTCAGGATGGCAACACACCCCTGCACCTGGCCATGAAGGTGAGCTTTCTGCAGAGGATGCTGGGAAGGAGAGAGAGGGTGTTCTTGAAGGGCTGAAACAGGGACAGACTCCTCTGAAATTCTGGTTCTTGCCTTCTGTGTGGTGATCCCTTGTGGGTGGATCTGGCTAATGAAAGGAGGAGGGAAGGATTGAGAAATCATATAGTGGCTCTTGAGCTTTCTCTTGTCCCTTAGCATGACCACCTGGATATGATCAAAGCGATCGTCGTGTTTGGAGGAGATGTCGAGATCCCCAATGATTTTGGGGAGACTCCAGGACTGTTGGCAGCCAGGAGCAGCAAAGGTGAGGGAGCATGTCAGCAGCCTGACAGGGTGAACCCGACATCCGGTCTCCCCTTGGTGGCCAAAACAGTGTCTTGGGGAGAGGTGGAAACCTGCCACGCATGTGTGATGCTTCTCTAGTATGCTTTTCCAGCTTGTAGTTGCTCACAGTGTAGGCGCTTCTCTTGCTAGTGGTGTAGGCTTTATGTTATTAACCCTCGATCAGTTTCTCTTCTGTGAGACAGAGATGCAAGAGGAAAAGCTGGCATGCACTTGCACTCCCCCTCTTTCACAGCACTATGTCAGGCACTGCAGGCTCACAACAGGATGACGCAGTGCTGCTGAACTGCCCAGGTGGGAGCAGACATGGGCAGTTCTTCACTGGCAGGAGGCGTGTGGCACACACTCCCCTTGAAGCTGCACAGCACTGGGTACACCCTCTGTGCACAAGTCCTGCTGCCTGGTGTTTGGGGAGAGATACCTGAGATGTGCTTTCCCCTTCTCCGGGTCTTCCCAGAGGTTTTGTGACGGTCAGGCCTGCTGTGAATTTGGTAGAGCACGTTATCCCCCGGTGTGTGCGTGCACTGATTCTCTTTCTGATCTGTGACTCCCCCTCCGTCACCTAAGGTGCAAACCGGAAAGTGCTCTTAGACCTGCTGCAAACTGTAGGGACCGAACGCTGCCACCCACCACCCAACCCTGACTCCCCAAGCCTGGCACCATCTGCCGCCTCCTTCCTGGAAGGCCAACCTTCCTCACGGAGCAGCTTCAGCAGCTTAGGTAAAGCCTTCCCTGGCCCTCCCTTGCGCTCCTTCCTTCTTGCTTCACAGTGCTGTCTCGGATCTCTTCTTCAGATGGGCCGTGCTCTGGGAACTGTCTTAGCTCTCAGTATCTGGTGACTGTCATGACTCTGTCCTCATTCAGCTGTTGCAGGATCTCTTTTCTCTGTGTGTGTACTCTCAACTCTTGTGTTCCAGACTTCAGTTTTGTAGAACTGACATGATGCAGCTCTGTAACAAGGAGCAGAACTGATCCCCTCACCCCTCTGGAAGAGGTGTAGCACTTAGTTGCTGGCATGTACTTTATCCACTGTGTCATGTACTTAGTGGTCTACCTTGAGGATCACTCAGTGTTGTGCTGGGCACAAGGGGATTTAGAAATGTGACTTTTTCAGATCCTGGGGGCCAGTGGCTGGGAGAGGGAAGGGGTGAGGCCTGAGGATAAGTAACCCTGGTCACAGGGTTTGTTAGGCAGAGGAAAAGCCTACTTTAGGACATACAACTGTGTCATAGCTTGTGCTCCATACTGCCCAGACTCTGTGAATAAACACATGAGTCTATTCTAAGTGCTAGGCTTTCCACCTCCGTGGAGCTCAGGCAGAGGCAGTGGGAGGGGTTACGGAGTAGTGGGGGAGTTGACTTAGAGGGAGGCTCTCACCCTCATGAGAGGAGCATGGAGGGAGCTAGCAGCTTCTGTGGACCTCTTCCCATCACCACAAATTTCACCGGCTGCTGACACCAGGACTTTCTTCTCACCATGACCTGGCGAAGGCAACCCCTGCCCAGTTTCAGCTCTGATGCAGACAGAGCAAGACCCTTTTTTGTCTTAGACTCTGGCCCTTGAAGAAACTCCTCACGACATTCATTGTCTCCATGTGCTCTAGACACAACCGCCTTCTGGCCTGGGTGCTGGCAGGAGTATGTAACTTCTCTCCCCCTGTTCTTCTCTTGGTTTCATAGGCTGGCTTCTCACCTAGCCTGGATCGGTGCCCTGCACCCAGTGCGGTCTGGGTGAACATCAGCTGAGGGGTAATGACAAGCCACCCTGTCTCCACAGCTCTCCTGCCTAGGTTACCTCGAGGAGTAGATTTAGGTTTTATCTTAGTGTCCTGCAGTAAACTGCTTAGTGGGCACACTGCTAGGCTCTGCCTTCTCTCTCACCCACTGTGCTCATCGTCTGCTTCTACAAATCCTTTGTCTTTGCCAGTGCATCTCCAGCTGCACATTCTAAAGGATGGTGTTGCTCTTCTTTGGTGTGGAGTTTAATCTGGGGGTACCTATTGGCTGTGGTTAAGATGGCTTGTGTCTCCTACAGGCAGCTTTATTCAATGGGGAAGGGAGTTGGATATTCTCTCTGTGATTATGGTGGAAATCATTCACCACACTGATGGTCCCTAATATTATTTTTCCTTTTGCATGTTCACGGCCCTGTAGGGTACCAGGACATTCTTTATGTTTCCACAACTCTCGGACAGTTGTTGAAGGCACCAGATGTTGTGGACATGCCCAGTGAGGATAGAAGAAAGTAAGTGAGGAACAGCTTCTGTCCAGGCTCCTGTGCAACTTGAAGGTGAAATCTGTGTGTGAATTCTCCCCTCCCACACCCATGGAGGTGGCTTCCTCAGAGCTGATATTTCATGTCCGTTGCTGTTGCAGTTTTTGCCAACACCTTGTGATAAATTTCTGTTTCAGTAAATGACCACTGCTTGTCCTGTGTGCAGCCCTGGAGCTGCAGTGGAGCCTGAGCTCAGCAAGTGAAACCCCTGCTCTGTCCCTTGACTGTGCCACTGGGCACCCAGTGCTGCTTTGGCTTTGTGATTTCCCCATCTCCACACACTGCCCTGATGCTCATCCAGCTCCTTGGGACCTCATCTTGCATGCAGTGGAGGAAGGGTTGGCACTGAAGTGCTGCTGGCAGGATTTAGGGCTGTCTGCTTTTTATTTATGACACAATACCCATTACTGTGTAGTAAGGGACTTGGGTGCGGTTTCAGCTGGTGACTTGTGTAGAGGTTAGAGATGGCTATGCAAGAGCAATGGATGTTGCACCAGCTCTGGCAAGGCTTATTGGATGTGGCTTATTTATACCTGAGAGACCACTGCTGGATTTATTAATTCAGTGATTACTCTGCAGCAATCTAGTTGCTGGCATAGTTTCCTGCTCCCAAGGCCACATTCCCGTGCAGTGTTCTGTGGTTTGTAATCTGTCCCACAGCTGCCAGTCATCTGTGTCTGTCTCTCTCCAGTCAGGACCGCCTCCTGTGCTTGGATGGAGGGGGCATCCGGGGCCTCGTGCTCATCCAGCTCCTCCTGGCTATCGAAAAGGCTGCGGGCCGTCCCATTCGCGAGATTTTTGACTGGATTGCAGGGACCAGCACTGGAGGGATCTTGGCCTTGGCTATTGTACATGGTAAGGACAGTGCAAAAAATGGGCCCCTTCTCGCTCCTGTGGGCCTGAGCACATCTCTGTGGGGAGTGGATGTGGGTTGGGAGCTGCCTCTCTGAGTCCTGACTGAGATCTTTTGAACCTGCTAAGGGAGGGATGGGATGTTCCTTAGTGAGGGAAAGCCTAGACCTGGCTTTGTGCTCGCTTCTCACGGCAGCTGGCTATCAGCAGCTTTCTGGGTTTTGGGAAGTGAGTGGTGGCAGAGTGCAATATTTTGTTCTCTCTGTGCTCTCCACAGGGGCTTTAGAGCAAGGTGATTGTCACTTTCTGGTAGTGGGAAACTGTGCTCCAAGTTTGCTCTTCCTCTGTAATCCTTCCTGGTCATGCTGCTGAAGACTAAGCAGATGACAAGCAGCTTGGGAAGGGGGTGGGATTGGGAGTGATGCCTCCCATCTCCTGCTTGTCCTGGAAAGTCCTAGCTCTGATCTGCTGTTTGTTCTGCCTGCCCTTCCTCCTGCTCCTGCTCCTGCCAACACTGTTGCCTGTCTCAGGGAAGTCCATGGACTACATGCGCTGCCTGTACTTCCGCATGAAGGACATGGTGTTCCGGGGGTCTCGGCCCTATGAGTCAGAGCCCCTGGATGAGTTCTTGAAGAAGGAATTCGGGGAAAACACCAAAATGACAGATGTCCAAAAACCCAAGTAAGTCTTGCCTGGGGCTGTGCTGGTTGATGCTTTCGTGCATGTGCTCTAGACCCTTCTCAGCAGACATGCTCAGCCTCTCCTTAGAGCAGATCTGCAGGAGTGTGATGTGCAGACTGTTGAAGCCATAAGTACTTTTTTTTCCATTTTACTCTTATTCTCTCATGTCCTCTTCTCTAGGGTTATGGTGACAGGGACGTTGTGTGACCGACAGCCAGCTGAGCTCCACCTTTTCCGGAATTACCCTGTACCAGAGACAAAAACCTCCACTGAATACAAGACAAGCGCATCTTTCAAACCACTTACTCGGCCAGAAGGTAAATTATGGTGCGCAGAAGTCTGTCTGGTTGGCAGGGGAGGTTGACAGGGACACAGTTTGTGCTCTTCCTTCATTGCTCTAAAAATCAGGGTGTCCCAGCAATGGCTTATCCTTGGTCTTGACTTGTAGCGTGGTCCTAATGGTGGTTGGCTTTCCTCCTTTCTCTTCTTCCTTTGGCTTCTCTTGTACCAGGAACAGCGACTGGCTGGCAAGGTTCATGAGGAAGGGGTCTGCTAGAGCAGTCCTGCATACAGTCAGTACCTTTCCTTGGCCTTTCACGGAAAAACACGGAAGAGCCGTGTAACTGAAGCTTGCAGCCCCGTCCAGCTTGCTGCTTTGTCTAGCACACATAAGAGGTTCATTATCAAAATGGCAGCAGTGAAGCGGACAGGGAGTGAATTTGATCCGGGATATGCAGAAAGTTCTGAGAACATCTTTTAAAGTCCCCCCCCCGCAAACCATCCTGTGCATCCAAGCAGAGGTCCTGCTGTTGGGAGAAAGAGGCATAGCTGTGTAGGGCAGGGCTTTCGGGGATTGCAAGCTTAGTGCTGGTGAAGGCATTGTGCTCCTTGTGCACAGCAGAGTTGCTGCAAGAGGCCTTTTGCTTCCTCCCCCTCCAGACCAGCTGGTGTGGCGCGCTGCCCGCTGCAGTGGCGCGGCTCCCACTTATTTCCGGCCGATCGGCCGCTTCCTGGATGGAGGGCTGCTGGCCAACAACCCGACCCTCGACGCCATGGCGGAGATCCACGAGTACAATAAGACGCTCATCAAAAAGGTGAGGGAAATCCTGGCCGTGACTGGTAACTGGGGTTTTTTGGCCCCGCTGAGCCTCCCTTGAAGAGGAAATGGGTTTGGCAATGGATGTGTATTAGTGGATAAACTAGTTAGCAGTGCAGCACCCTGAAAGGAAGTGCAGGGAGGGGGATATGTGTTGGGAATGGTGGCCGGGAGCGAAGGTACCTCTTCTGGGAAGGGTGTGAGACATGGAGGCAACCTCATCAGCCTCTCCTTGCTACTTTGAACAAGGATGAGTCAGTTGATAGTTGTGTGTGGCCATTGATGCAGCTCTGCAGGGCCACCTTCTGCCCAATAATAAGCGGAGAAGACAAAGGTAGGGTACTTTGTGAGGCTGAAGAGGGAATGCCTTCTGTGGTGTGGCAAGTTCTTAAAAACATGAATAGCTACTGGCAGCTATTGTTCCCTGTATTTCAAAGGGGAGGTGTGTTGTCAGAATGGCAGCTATTGTTCCCTGTATTTCAAAGGGGAGGTGTGTTGTCAGAATGACTGAAGAGTTGTACTGTTTCTTGGTCATCTGGTCCCAGGATTCATCTCCGGGGTGATCCCACGGGTTTGAGTGCAGTCAGGGAGATAAGGGACAGAACAGTGCAACTGTTTAAGTCCTGTGGGTTACACCTGTCTCACCAGGCCGTACTTAGGGGGAGAGGAAAGACTACTGAGCCTTTTGCCTTGGCTTTCAGAGCTTCCCCATGACTGCTGTGAAAGACATGCTCTGCCTTCTTTGTTGATTCTAGTAAACAAATCTTTTGTTTGTCCACAGGGTCGGAGGCAGGAAGTAAGAAAATTGGGGTTGGTGGTCTCCCTGGGGACAGGGAAGCCCCCGCAGGTCCCAGTGAGCTCTGTGGATGTTTTCCGCCCCTCCAACCCTTGGGAGCTGGCGAAGACTGTCTTTGGGGCCAGGGAACTCGGCAAGATGGTGGTGGATTGTGTGAGTACTGGGAGGAAGGGATGGGGAAAGACCCCTGGGGTTGCTTGCAGGGAGGGAGAAGAGGTTTCCAAACTTCAGCTTCTTCCTTTTGGAAGTAACTTCCATTTCCTTGGAACTGCTCTGACATTGGATGTAGTGGGTAACTTAAGAATTATGGGAGCACAGCAGATCTGAAGACCTATCTGCTGCTTTGGGGTTTTGAGTTCCAAGGCAGGTTCTTGCAGCTGAAAGGGGCTGAGAACAGGATGGTAGTCAGTGACCCTTAGGAACATTTGCAGCATTGATTATCATCTGAGCAACCTAGGGCAAAAAAAAATTTAAAAAGTCATTCCTTGGAAAACAGCAATTCCTTCTTCTTTAGAAAAGCCTCGCTGTCCCCACTGGAGAAATCAGTAAATGCTAGAGAAGTGGGAGAGTCACTAATAAAAAGCAGTTGTTGAGAGCTGTGGTTAGGAGTGTGTAATAGGAATACAAGCTTGCGTGTTTCAGAAAGAAGATCATGAACTGTTGTGCATGAAAACACTCCAAATGAATGAAAGCCAGAAGGATCAGAACGGAAGTTCTGACTGTGATCTTAATTCTGCTGCTTTATCTCCTTTTTAGCTTCCTAAAGTCAGAAAGTGCCCGGAGTCCCTCTGCTTCCCCTGCCCTTTATTTCAGGGCTCCCAGGGAAGCTGTGCCAGGATAGCCCAGGAAACCTGTAGTAATCACAGGCTGTGCTGTTACGGGGCTTGGAGAGAATGGATAGAGATAAAATCCCAAGGAGGCTGTCATTCATGTCATCCTGGAAGTTTCTTTAAGGGAGTCTACTCAGTGCTGTGATGTATGGAGGATCTGTGGTGTGCAATTCCTTGTGTCCCAAAGATCAGGACCACTGTTCTTATGTTAAAAATAAAAAGTAAATAAATAAAAAGCTGCCCTACTCTTGGCGGCAAGCAGTGCCATCCAGGATGAACTTGCTCCTGGTTTTCCCTTTCCCTCTGCAGCTTGTGCAGTTCAACTTGGTGCCAGGGAAGCCTCTTGCAGGCAGGGGAAGAGCAGTCAGGCTGTAACTGTGGGCCTGTTTCTCCTGCAGTGCACTGACGCAGATGGCCCAGCTGTGGATCGTGCCAGGGCCTGGTGTGAGATGACGGATGTCCCATATTTCCGGTAGGAGCTTCCTTTCCACTCTCTGCACAGGTCTATTTTTATCCCTCTCACTTCAGACCTGGCTGTGGCGTGCGTCATCCCAAACAGCATCCCCTCCAGAGGCACGCCTGCCCAGACCCCAGACCTGTCCCCTGCCCGCTCCCCTCACGCCTCAGTGGCACAAGGGAGGATGCCCTGGCCCTCTGCATGAGCTGATGCACCGAGCACGCCTGGCCTGGGACACTTAGTGGAGGCTTGCGGGTTGCTGTCTTGCATGGTCCTTTGGGATGTGCATCCTGCCCTATTCCACCATGCACAGCCTGTTTTTGACTTGTCGCTCATGTGCTCTGCAAGTCTGACAGATAAAGGGCCAGTGATCACCTCAGTGGCGGGAGCCCCTTGGCAAAAGTCTCCTGCTTGGCAGGCTTGTGCCTGACCACCTCTGTGTCTGTGCCCAGCTGGTGATGCTGTCTTGGTGTCTGCAGGCTCAGCCCTCAGCTGCACACGGAGGTGATGCTGGACGAGGTGAACGACACGGTGCTGGTGAATGCTCTGTGGGACACCCAGCTGTACATCTACCAGCACCGGGAGCAGTTCGAGCAGCTGGTGCAACATCTCTGCCGATGACTGACCTGGAGGTTCCCGTTCTGCATCCCAAAGGCAAGGAGCAGCAGACACTGAAATGGCTCAGATTCGCCCTTCAACCAAGGTGTTGAGGTGGGAGAGGGACTAGTAATAATAATTATGAGGTACTAATAATATTTAATAGACAACAGTGCACATACACACGTATTCCCAGACAGCTACGAAATGCTGACAGTTATCCTTGTTCTGTAGCCCCATCTCTGCTGCTGTGCTTGGTTTTGCTGCCCTGCTGTCTGACTCAGAATCCAGAGCCCCCACCTACCTGTCTTGAGCTGTAGCAGCTGGAATGTCTCCTGTCTGTGCAGTACCTCTACTGACAAAGCACCGTGCACCTTCACATGTCACAGAACGGGCTAAGACCCGATAACAGCTACAGGGATTGCTTGGCCCACTGGGGCCAAAGTATTTCAGAGTGTATAGTATGGGGAAAAGGGATTATTTTTCCTTCAACACACCCAGTTTGAAGGGGAGCAGAAATGCTGCAACTTTTTGGAGTAGATACGACACAGAATGTTGCAGCTGGCCTTGGGAGAAGGGCAAACCTTTCCTGAGACAGGTCTTCTGTAGCAGCTTCTATCCCCTCTGAGATGGGCTGGAAACACAGGCACTGACTGTGCTTAAGGTGGGAGCAGACCACCCCCCACCCAGGGCTTTTTGTGCCACCTGATTTGCTGTGCTGATCTTTGCTCAAGGGCTGAGATGTGAAAGCCTGACTTTACTCACAGCAAGCTCAGGGTAAGGGACAAGAGCCTTGGCTTAGTAGAGAGATCATTTATCTCAACGTGGGATTAAAATGCTCTGTGACCCGTTCCCTCCAAAGAAGCTGACCCTGTGACAATTTGGGTTTACTTTTTTTTACTACTGGAAATTTCACTGTGACTGCTATACTACTCATTGTTTCTCTCCTAAATTTTGCATATTTATAAATATGTATGTATTTGGAGGCATTTTGAGGAGTACCCCAAAAAACTGAATTTTTAATCCTTTGCTTTTGACTGAATGGACCACTGTTGCTGACAGGGCTTCCGTGAAAAACTGACATGACCTGAAATAAAGAGGAATTTGCATTTGCTTCTGATGTCATGCAGTCCATGGTTGTCCTCTCTCCATCCTGCAAGTTCCCGGAGGGCTTCTGAGCTTGCAGCCTCTGAATTTCTTACAGGTAGAAAATGAGGAATAGGGCCCCTTGAGACACAGGATTATACCAAGAGGTGAATGACCTGTCCATGCAGACAGCCCTGGGAGCACGTATGTGGTGTGAGTGGCTGATTGTTCCACAGTGGTTGCAACCAGAGGAAAAAGGCTTTGGACCAGCTGCAATATGAGGATCTTCTTGGAACTGGGCAGGCCTAAAAAGTAGAACACTGAAACCCTTTGGAATACAAAAGGTTGGAGATGGGGCTTTAATTTTGGTATCCCCAGGTGGTTTCCAGATGAGGTAACTGCTGCAAGCCTGCTGGACCTGCTGCCCAGTGGTTGCTGCAGGACACCACTGACGTGCTGAATCATGAATAGGGCTGAAAACTGATTATCTGCCTTCTGATCTTCAGTTTCACAAATGAGATTGTGGAATTAAGGGAATTTTAGGAGGAGTAAAAGTTTTCTTTTCCTATACAACAGAGAGCCTTACTTTCTTGTAGAAAAACAAAACTTGAAATGAAGAGACCCTGAGCTCCTTTCTGCTTTTTGCCCCTGGCTTGTATTCAACCTCCCTCTTTCTAAGCCTGCAGGGACTTCTCGGAGCAGGTTCCTTGCATGCAGACAGGGAGAGCAGGAGGGTTGCCATCGTTAACCCCAGATGGCAATTAAGTACCACCCAGCCACTCACATCCCACCACAACCCTGCTGGGGAGGAGAATTGGAAAGAAAAGGTAAACCTTGTGGGTTGAGAGAAGAACAATTTGATAATTGAACCAAAAATAATAATAATAATAATAATAAAAATGATAAGAAGAGGGAGAGAGAGTAACAGGACTCAAGAGAAACAAGTGATGCATAACCCATTTGCTCACCACCTGCTTATTAATGCCCAGCCCATCCCCAGGCAGTGATCATCTCTTCCAGGTAAATCCCCTAGTTTATATACTGATGTTCTGTGGCTTGGAAAATCCCTCTGGCTGCTTCAAATCAGCTGTCCTGGCCGTGCTCCTCCTGGGTGTCCTGTGCAGCTCCTCACTGTCAGAACATGAGAAACAGGAAAGTCCTTGGCTTAGAGTAGTAAGCCACTACTTAGCAACAACTACAACAGTGGTGTGTTATCAACATTATTCTCATACTAAGTCATACACACAGCACTGTACTGGCTACTGGGGAGAAAATAACCCAGTCCAGCCAGAATCAGGGCAGCTCAGGGTGAGGGTCCTGTGAGCTGCTCAGCTGTTGTGCCGTTGGTCTGGAGACCAGAGGGAGCATCCCCGCTCCCCTGCTGGCAGTAGATGTTGGGGAGTGCGGGGGCTGTGGGCTGTGTGACCCAGTCTGCATCCATCACCTCCTCAGCTGCCTGAGCCAGGCTGTGGCACTGTGCCCATGGAGACCTCCAGACCCGTCCTGAGCAAACAGTTGAGAACCCTGTGCCTGCTGTGATGGGTGCTGCCAGGGGAGGCTCTGACTGAGCTTTGCTTTGTCCTCTGCCAGGAGTGTGCCAGGAGCACTTGAAATGGCAGTGCCAGTCCCAGCTCATCAGAGAAGAAACCTGGGAAAGGGTTCAGACAGAAGCCAGTTTCTGGTGTTGGGGAGTCTCGCTGAGACTGGGTGTGGGAGGGAGCCTGGTGAGGGGGAATAGTGGGCAGGGAGGAGTTGAAATTTGTTTTGAGCTTTCCTTGCATTCTCCATGCCTGCTGCTATTTACTGCCTGCCTGTTGCAAGCTGATGGGGATCTCCTGACTCCCAAGGTGTCTGCAAGAGACAGACCTGAGGATGCTCCACTAGCACATTGAGGCCGGTCAAGCCACCTCCGAGCAGCAGTGACGGAGGCAGCGAGCCATAAGGCGGATACTTGGGCAGGTGGCCGGCCCTGCAGGTGTCAGGACAGGGAGAGCTGGGTACCAAGCTGGCAATCAATAATGCAAGGAGGCGGTCACATGTCCTTGCTGGCTGTCACAGGATTCCTCTCTCCCCAGAGTCTGGTTACTTCCAGAGATCAAGTTCCAGTCTCTCGGCTGGTGAATTATTAAACTACATCAGTGCTCCCTTTGTACCACATCTGTGTCTTCCTGCCGTCCTTCCTTGCCAGTGACGGGCTCTTTCCATCCAGCTGGCTGTGCAGAAGCAGAGCCCCCCAGGCCATTATAGCACCTGGTACTCTCCTTTGTTCCCTGCTTCTCCGTGGGAAAGGAAATAGGCTCCAGAGATGGATCTGTCCTACAGATCCACCATCTCCATCTATAAGGTGAGTGCCGGCATCAAAGGCTGCTCTCGTTGGCGTAGGGGAGACGTGTGGGTGGGAGAAGAGCTGTTTTCTGCCAAAGGCTCCCTTGGGTGGACAGCTGAGGGCTGAATCCCTTTGCAGTCAGAACTCCAGCAGCTCCTGTGGCCTCTGGGCTGTGTTTGAGAGCAGAAGGCTGGTAGGAGGAGATGATGGTGTGAGTCCTAGAGGCAGATTCAGGAAGGAATTGGGCAACCAGGGTGGTTTGGGCATGGAGCATGAAGGGTGTCATACCTTAGTTGCTGGTAGGAAGAAGTTCGATCAGCTGTTTTCCCCCTCACTGGAAAGAGCTGTCTCATCTCATAAACGTTTCCTTGCACACTTCAGTGCTGAACCAAGGTGATGAGGGCTGACAGAAGGGGGAATTGCTTATTCCAATCTGATCTTCTCTGTAGTCAATGAATACCTCTGATAAATACAACAAATACAAGCAGAGAGGCTGGTCTCAAGCAGTCTATCCCTTCTCTTACCAGGCTCCTGAGTCTGGCAGTGCATCACATCCTGGCCAGGAAAGAGTTGTGTTTATTCCTGGATAATAAACAGTGGCCCTCACCCTGGCTGGCTCTGGGATGAGGGGAAAGGCTGCTCAGATCCCCTTGCACTTACTCCCCTGCCTGCGGTGGGTGTGGGACCTTGGGAGAAAGCCGTCTTCATTCAGGAAACCCCTTGGCTCTGCAGTGGGCTCCCTTGCCCTCTGGCACTGCTCCTCTCCTGGCTGGCTTGGCAAGACTAAAGGCAGCCAAAGTTCCTGGCCTCCTCCGCTGCAGGGAGCTGACTTTATGCTTGGCTGCACATCCCCACGGCCAGCCGGTGCTGGGGCTGAGGGAGCTCTCATCCAGCCAAACCACAGCAGGGGGGCATCAACCTTTTGAAGTCTCTGAGGTGTGGGGAAGAACAGTATTAACGTGCTTCTGCCTGACCACAGAGTATCCTGGAGCAGTTCAACCCTGCGCTGGAGAACCTGGTGTACCTGGGGAACAACTACCTGCGTGCCTTCCATGGTGAGTGGGGTCCCGCCCAGCCAGGGCTTCAGACCATACCGCTATATCCATCCTGGGGATCTGCTGTGCTGTCACCCAGGACAAGGTTGCTGATCCGCCACCTCTGAAGTGTCCTGAGCTGCTTTTAAGCACTCTTCTACTCCAGGACCTGGTGCTGATGGCGAGAGATGGGGTGCCCTTGCCTATGGGCGAGGTACCAGGGGGTAGCTGTTCTGTGTGCTGCTTGCTGGAGCTGGTGATGGTGGGAAGGCAGGCCAGACCATTATGTCTCTCCCCTCTCCTCTCCTCACAGCATTATCCAAAGCAGCTGAAGTGTACTTTAAGGCAATTGAGAAGATTGGGGAGCAAGCTCTGCAGAGCTCCACCTCACACATGCTGGGTAAGGCTCTCCTGCACTCCATACTCTGTCCTGGGATGAGCTACATTTAGGTTTCTTTGGCCTTCTCCCTTAGCTTATCTCTTTCCAGGTAGAGAGGGAAGAAAGACAGCTCCTCTAAATGGTGTCTCACCACACCAGGTCCTGTCCAGGTGGTGAGAGTCAAATTTACTGTGTGTCCTTGAATATCTCTCATGGTCCCTGTATCTCTCTGAGACTAATGACTGAGCCTACCTCCTGGGATGGACCTCCAGTGATGGACCTCTCATGGAAACCAGTCCTTGTTGAGGCCTTCCCTGAGAGATGAAATTTTCATCACGGAGGAACCATTTTGTTCCTCCTTGGAAGTGTGGGGGAAAAGCTGGAGAGCACCCACTGACAACAGCTGATTAGGGTCTTGTCCTCCTGAGCCTGCAACCAGCTGGAATGGCAGCTTGGGGCTGAGTGGCTTACACTCAGCAGCACAAATAACTCTGCAGCCTAGTGGCGACGCTGAAAATGTGCTCAGGGAACTGTCTACTGCTGAACATTTTAGTAAAAAGCTTCCAGTAGATGTGTCACTTCTGCAGACTCCTGTTGTCATATGCACCTCCCAGCTAGCTCCTCTGCTCCCTGTCATCAGTCTCTTCCTTTCCTGGTTTCATAACACTGACACTGGTGAAGCAGGACCGTGCACAGCATCAGCAGCAGGTGCTGCAGCTGCCTTCCCATAGGACAGCCACAACTGTGCACATCTGCTGGAGTGCCATTGGCATTTGAAATGGCACCTGTAGGGGCTGTGGCAGAACAGAAACTCAGAGCCCGTGGCAGAGGTGAGGCTTCCTGCTGGTACCTGGTGCTGAAACAGAGCGCCGGTCCAGCCACTTTGTGGGTTGGAGCAACCCTGTGTTGTCAGTGCCTGGGGAGGAAGGCTACCACCCTCTCTCAGGGTGTGGAGAGCAGAACTTTGCAATATCTCTTGGACTTTCACACGTGTGTTTCATCAGCCTGAGTTGCATCATGCTGGTCTGCCTCCTTGGGCACACAAGGAAATGGCCTCAGGATTTTTACACCTTCTCCTGTCTTTTTCCTTGAAGGTGAAATTCTTATACAGATGTCTGATACGCAGAGGTTACTGAGCTCTGATTTGGAAGTTGTGGTGAGTGGTTTTCCTGAGGGCTGGTGGAGGTGGGAAACAAAGGGACTTCCTTAAGTACAGCTTATCAGCATTTATTGAATTCACCTGCCCTCTTATGAGCCCGCAGGCAAGTGCCTGCCTCCCTGCTATCCCACGTGACAGAGGAGTGTCACAGAGCTGCCACTGCAGCTGGGCTGGCAGAGCCTGGCAGGAGCATCCAGGTGGCAAGGGAGTCTCTAGCACAGCAAGTCTTATGAGCCACCCCTCACCACAGTGCATGCAACACCCCACTTGGTGAAGGGACAAGACTGATGGCTCCTTCACCTCTTTCAGGCTCAGACCTTCCACGTGGACCTGCTGCAGCACATGGAGAAGAACAGCAAAATGGATGTGCAGTTCATCAGTGTGAGTGATGAATTCCCTTCTCCTCCTCAGCCCTCCTTGTTTCCTTCTCCCATCTACCCAAGGGTTTTTGCTTGAGCACTTGAAGTGTTTCCTTGACTTTTCTCAGGAGGAGCTGGGGTGGCTTTTCTTCTCCCATCAAGGAACAAACCCCCTCGTGTTTGGCTGATGATGGAGAGCTGAAGATGATGGCTGTTCTTTCTATAGTGGGAATTGCCAAATGGTTCAGCAGGGCTGAGAGACTCGTCATCCCGATAGCGGAGTTCCCAGCTTTCCCAAATCACAGCCTCTGCATGACTGTGGGTCCTCTGCCATTATGGCCCAGCTGGCCATGTTGGTCATGGAGGGAGACAGAGGCCTGGGGGAGCTGAGTGCCAGTTCTTGGTCCTGAGATCTTGAGGTTCATCAGCACTCTGAGGCCATTCAAAATGAAAAGAAAGGTAGAGAAAGACTTCTTATAAGAGATCCAGGTGAAGCCTGATTTCAGGGGGACTCAGATGTCCAACCATGCACCAGAGCAGGACCCTTGCTGCTTCACAGTGTGTCTGTGTCTCTGGTTCCTCACTGAGCCTGGTTTCTTCCTGGCAGGAGAGCCAGAAGCACTATGAGCTGGAGTACCAGCGGAGAGCCACCAACCTGGATAAGTGCATGGCAGAGCTGTGGAGAATGGAGAGGGCTCGTGATAAAAACACACGGGAGATGAAGGTAAGCAGTGATTCCAGGAGTGGGCTGGAAAAAAGAACCGGATGATTTCTGTGGAGCCAGGGCTGATTTCTCAATAACCTTAGCCAAGGAGTTGCCCCTGATATTCAAAAAGTAGCAGGTTTATCTGGAAAGTAGGAAACTCCTATTCCACAGGGTGATACTGACCTGTGGTGCTCACTCCTGCCAAGCATTTTCCTCACTTAGGAAGCCTCAGTGTGCAAGGCTCTAATCCCTGGCACTCTGCTCTATCTCCTCTGTGGTGCTCCAGCACCGCAAGTGAACTGGGAAGCTCATTGACACGATGACCCCTTTCAACCCTTCCCATGCAATGGGATTTTCACTGATCCCTTCCCCCCTTTTTTCCTTGTGGTACAGGAGAATGTGATGCGACTGCGCTCAGAGATGCAGGTGTTTGTCTCTGAGAGCCAGAGGGAGGCCGAGCTGGAGGAGAAACGCCGCTACCGCTTCCTGGCTGAAAAGCACCACATGCTCTACAACACCCTCCTCCAGTTTTACAGCAGGGTATGGCCCCGACATGTGGGGGAGCAGAACTGAGGAGCAGGCAGCAGGGCTGGAGAGGGAGCCAGGGCTGAGCTGCCCCTTAGGTGAAGGCAATGTCTGTGCATGGACTGGGCAGGAAACTTTATTTCCTTTCTTGCTGTGAGGTTCAGGCTGCCTGTATTCGGCTGGGAGAACATGGCTGGGGCTGAGGATGGTGCTGACACAAGGTTAGCTGGGCGTGTGAGTGACGGAGAAGGGTGATGTGTTTGTAGCAGTGTCATTTGGACCATGGGATCTCTGCCATCCTGAAAATTCACTCCTGTAGGATGCTGTTTGGCCATTCCCACAGACCTAATTGTGGGAGGACCTGGTCCCTAATTTAATGCACGTGTCAGCCCTAGGCTGCCTTTGTAGCTGTTCTGCCCTGTCCATCACCCCCTCTCTCTCTCTCTGCCCAGGCTCGGGGCATGATCCAGACCAAGGCACCGCGGTGGAAGGAGCAGCTGGAGGCCAGCCGCAACCCCTCCAACAGCCACTCACAGGGGCTGCTCGCAGCCTCCCACAGCCAGGGCTATCCATCGGGACGGCTCACGCCCACCCACCTGGAGATGGTGAGGCTCCCACAGCTTCACCTTGTTTGATGCAGTATTGGAACAGGTTGCCCAGAGAAGTGGTGGATGCCCCATCAAGGTCAGGCTGGAGAGGGCTCTGAGAAACCTGATCTAGTCAAAGATGTCCCTGCTCATTGCAGGGGGTTAGACTAGAGGGCCTTTAATGGTCCCTTCCAACCCAAACTATTACATGATTCTATGGTGGTGAAGCTGCAGGGCAAGGCCAGGCCTGGGCTGACCATGGTACTTGCTGCCTTGTCCAGCTTCCATGGCCTTTCCTGGCCAAGATGAAGAGAAGCATGCATATGGGCTGCAATGGGGGAATGTGCTGTGTTTGGCTTTCTGAGTGGAACTTCAGATCTCCAAGAGCATCTTCTGCCTAACGCAGCCCTTGTGGATGTGTGTTAAGCCTCCTTTCCTTCCAACAGCCCCAGAGACCCCTTGGGGACTTTGCTTCTTCTATGACTGGGAGTAGATCCAGCATCTTCTCTCCGGACCCTCCAGAAATGAGACTGTCTCCTCAGCCAGAGTCCCCCAGGCGGCCACTGCGGAGGACACCATCAGCCAGTATGACCCATATCTGGGAGCAGTGTTGTGGGGAGACAGAGGGATTGGACCTCTCTGGGAAGAGGGCTGGGTTTGGGAAGGGACTACCACTCTATCAGACCACCAGTCCTCAGCCACATTCCTGGGCATGGTGAGAGTAGAGTGCTGGGAGATGGAGAGGGTAAGGCTGAAGCAGAAGGTGAGCTCAGCCTTCAGGGCAGGGTCCATCTAGGGCAAGGCCAGGATTCCTGGCTGGCTGTATGAAGTGGGGAACCCACAAATGTGCAGTTTTCAAGGCTCCTTGGACCATAAGAGCTGGTTCTTGCTGGAGTTCCATTTCAGTAAAGCACCTTCTCTCATGCTACAGATTTAATATAAGCTTGCCCTATGAAACCCAGCCACTTGCCTCATGACACACCTCCTTTTCGTTCCTGAGAAATCTCAGCTTAAAGTGTTTTAAAAAAAAAGTAAAAAAGGGTAGGGGGAGAAAAAGATTACTCAAATAGATAGTCAGTAGCTCTAGCAGGGTCAGGAAGAGGACCGTCAGGCAGAGCATCAGCTGAGGCGTGCATTGTCTATGTTCTAAACATTCGGCAGAAGAGGACACAGTGCAAAGCAAATGGTTTTGGCTTCAGTTAATTTTTCTCCTGCAAGATGCTTACCATGCTTTACCCATGCTATGCCCTGCTTTCTCCCCAAGAGAAAGTCCATCTACTCCTCCTTTAGAGCAAATACTTTCCTGAGGAAGCAGTGGTCCCTTTGAGGCAGTTTGGGTCTTACAGGAGGATGCCAAACTCCAGCCAGACTCCTTGGATGCCTCCCTGCAGGTTTGCTCCCTACGGGCCGTACTTCCCGTTCGGGTTCCTTCAGCGAGGCCAGCAGTGGCAGCGAGGGCAGGAAGAGGAGTGGCAAGGGAAGAGTGCAGGCTATTGTGGCCCACGCCACGGGTGCCAACCGGACTCTGCTACGGTTTGACCCTGGGGACGTCATCGCGGTGCTGATGCCGGACGCGCAGAATGGCTGGCTGTACGGCAAGCTGGAGGGCTCGTCCACGTATGTGACCCTAGTGCTGTAAACTGGCCTAATGCAGGCTTGTTGGATCTGGAGCTGTGGGGGGGTTAAGCCCAAAATTATCATCCATCCTCCCCTCCTGGTGTGGCCTGGGCACTGTGTCTCATCCACCATCTCAGTGGGACATCACCATGTGGTGTGGCATGGATGAGCTGCCTGAGAAAGCTCCAGGGGCTTTGAGTGGAAGAGTCAGGGATGCAGTGGCCCCCCTCCTGGCTTGCATGACTGAGTGACTCCTGTCATGGGATCCAGCTCAGGGCCATGAACCGCTGGAGTTACCTGAGAGGCCTTAGCTCACACTGCAACTGCTGCCACAGCCTCCAGCACAGGCAGGACATGGAAACTGCTGCACCCAGTGCTTACTGAATTACTGCCTGTGGCACTGCTGGCCAATACCTGTGTGCAAAGCCTGTCCCATTTCATATGGGATCCCTGCACCAGGCTCTGCAGGAATGCTCAACCTCAGATGTGAGATGAACAAGAGCAGTGCCTCTCTTTGTGAGGGGGGTTTCTGGAGTGGAGCTGATGCAAAATCGCAGGAAGAGTTTTCCACAGCCTCCTTGTGATTGCAGTTAGTTGGAGTGTCTCTTCCTGTATTGTGCCAACATTGTTCCCAGGAGCACAGATTTTGCACAGCCCCTGAGATAAGCGAGTCCTGCTCCAGGCTCAAGGTCTGTCTCACAATAACAGCATGCCCCACCTATGGGTGAAAGAAGTTCAGGAACCCAATCACACATGGAAGCATCAGCAGTGGCTTGGTTGATATGTGGGATGGGTGTAGATTAGGAGTGCTGGGCAACTGGATCTGAAGAACCACAAACCATGGTTGCCTGGACCTCATTTGTGTGTTCCTGTGCCCTAGGTGTGGCTGGTTCCCTGAAGCTTATGTCAAGCCTCTGGAGGATGCGCGGGAGATGGAAGAGCCAGATGCCAGGTAACAGGAGGGCAACTGGCCAGGCAGGAGCTGGAGTGGCTCCTGATACATCACTATATGCCAGTGGGGTAATTGTTTAGGGTGTGCCCTATGGAGAGCTGCAGGGCTCCTGTGCTGGAGCATCTGCCAAGAGCCTCATTGTGCCCTGAGATCTCGCAGGCTTCCCTAGGTGGCTGCCCCAACATGTGCAATGTCTTCTCAAAGGTGCTTGTGAGAGGGCCAGTCCTAAGCCACGTGTATTTGCTCCAGAGGCATCCCATGTTGTGGCTAGCACCTGTGATACTCCCTATTCCTTGCTCTACCCCACTGTCTTCTCCTCTTGCTCAGGTCTTTCCCACTGCGAAGCAGTCACAGTATGGATGACATCCTGGACCGTCCCAGCACTCCCTCCTCTAGCAATTACTGGCCTGCTGCTGCCCAGCCCAGTGTGCCGAACCCACCTCCCCTCTCGGTGGGTGCCAGCAGTCACCAGAGTGGGGCAGCTACCCCAGTCAGTTCTGGCTCCAAGGTGAGTGCAGGAGGAGTGACTGGTGGGCATGTATGGAGTGGGCCACACCTGACTTTCATCCTCCAAGGCACACCTTTTCTGCTCTGCCTGGTAGAGAGAGAAAATCACCTTCCAGATGTTGGTGAAGGGACCTGCTCTCTTCCTGAGTTAAGGGGTCTTTTTAGCACCAGCCTTTCTCACCCAGTCTGTTTGCACGCCACCATATCCTGATGATCCCTGCCAGACAACCTTGTGTGTGCAGATCCTCAGTGCCTGGCTTTGCTCCCACAAGGGACTGCATTTCTGCCCCTGCCCTTCTCATTTCTCTCTCTTTTTGCTCACCAGGGACCCTTCACCTCAGTCCTTTTCTCCATGACTTCCCAGCCTGATTTCTGGTGGCTCCAGGGCAGCACCTCTTTCTGCTAAGAGTAGGACCATGGAGTGATCAGGCTGGGCTGGGAGTGGGTGACCAGCTAACAGAGATGCCATCCTTCATCTCCCTTCAGAAAATGGAGAGGAGTTTCATAGGACTCCTCTTCAAAGTTTGGGCAAGCATTGAGTTAATGTCACAGCTGGGATAGGCAAAGGCTGGGAGTAAAGGCTGAGGGCACAGCCATTTTTGAGAGCCTCAGAACAAGTTATATGCAACCCATATATGCTTTCTGGATGGCACACTGAGAAGGAAACCCTCCACATAACACTACTTCCAGCTGTGAGGTATTGACTGGGGAGAACAAAGCTAAAGACAATTAAATGCTAGGACCTAAGAGGGGGAAGGAGGGTGCTGCCCACAGTCTCATAGAGGGCGAGAAACTTCATCTCTGATCCCTGGTTCCAGGCCAGTGCAAGTTTGCAAACAATTGGATTTCTCAATAATCTGAAAACTGCAACATTTGATTACTCCTTTTTTTTTTTTTCCCTTTATGTCCTTCTCTGTGCTTTCAGGTAGCCTCAGGCTGCACAACACTGGGGAACAGGCTCTGCAGCCTGTCTGTCCCTCTGGGTCACTGATTTTCATCCAGTTGCAGAGCTAGGGTGTAGGGATAGACCTGGGATTGAGCAGGAAAGTGTGTGGAGCATTTGGAGCATTACGGCAGAGTGCTTGAGCCTTGTTAGAAGTTTGGAAAGAGTCAGCCTTGCTTTAAACACATGCCCAAGACAACTCCCAGCTGAGCCACAAGCAAATGGGTGTGCATTTGACTTTGTAACTGGATCACAGATAGACACGTGGCTTTCTTGTCTTCCACCAGCTACAGAAAGTGGTGTGGTGTACTTTAGCGGGCCAGTTGTCACTGATCCCTCGCTGTCTACTGACCAAGAATAAGGGCCACAGGGCCTAGGTCCATCTTTCTCTATCAGGCTTGTCCACATTTAAGCAATATGTGTTGTAGGGTAGGGAGGCAAAGTTCTTGAGTTCTCCATGGATGTAGGAAGCATGTGAGGGCACTGACAATAAACTCTTTGCCAGGGTGTGTGGGCAGCATGAGGGGGGCATCTCTGGGTGTGCTGGCAGGGTGAAATGTAGCTCAGACTGTCACTGTTTGCTGTGCTCTTCAGACACGACACTTCGGGGATCTGAACCATCTCCTTTCCTCCCTAAGACAAAGGGAGGTGTCCTAGGGGAATAAGGAACCTCTGGTGTAGGCACAACCCCCCACCACAAAATTCAGGGTCTTATCTATAGCAGGGAATCTGTGGGCTTTAGCATAGCTTGAATGAACAAGGACTCAGAGCCCTGTTAATAAGACTTGGGCTCCTAACTCATTGAAAGTGTTTTGTGAAATCTTCCTCTGTGTGCTGTGTCTCCTGCCCCACTTTTCTGCCTCCATTCCCCACTCACAGATTGCTCACTGCTGCTTTTCTTTTCACTGCAGAAATCAGGAGACCAGCCCCCTGAACTCTTCCCACGGTAAGTGAGACATGGAGCTCTGCTATGGAATCCTCAGACGGGGGGAGCATTATTACAACGCCATTATTATTTAATCTTTTGGATTATCAAATGTGGGAGGAACAAGGAGGTGTCTGGAGGAAAGCAATGCACAGCCTGCCTTTCAGGACAGGAGGCAGAGGTGGTCCATTCTGACCTCTGCTGACTGGAAAGGCTCTATCCTAACTCTGATAAAATGAGGTAGGATCAGAGCACCCTAAATGTGTTCAAATTTGCATGCTCCTTCCCATCCATTTTGCAAGAGCCACAATAGCAGCTCACAGCCTGAGTGTGGAGCTACATGACTGGGCAGCTCTGCCAGCTTGGGAAAGGGCTGAGGCATAAGGCTTCAGGTTTTGATGAGTCAGGTCTGTGGAGATCAGACTTGCCATAAATCCCTGCTTTCCTTCCCCCTGAAGTTGGGTTGGTGTCTCCAGGTTTCTGGCATGGTACTGTGGCCTTTTTCTGCTCCCCAGCTCCTTTCCTGGAGGGTCAGGAGCTACAAGTAGAGAGTGCTATTTGGAAGGACAGCCATGTGCTAATGTCCCTTCTTCATCCTATGGAAGGGGGAGGGTGAGAAGCCCTGTGGAGAGCCCAAGGGGAACCACATGGGAACTTGCAGCAGGGTGTGTTAAGGAGGGAGATAATATACTCAGCATACAGCTTTACCACACTCTTCTTGGCATGGAGGTGACTGTCCAGAAGGACTAAATAGCCTTTGCTTGGTCAGAAGGATCCCTGCATAGCATTTGCACATTTTTTCATGGTTGCCTCTTTCCTTTCCCTTTCCAGAGGTACCAACCCCTTTGCCACAGTCAAGCTGCGTCCCACAGTCACCAATGACCGCTCAGCACCCATCATTCGATGAAGCAGGGTTGCAGATATTGAAGAGTTTCAGCAGACAAGGAGAAAGAGGACAAGGACTACCCTGTGATGTCCAACTGGGCAGCAACCTAGTGCTACCACTCATGGAGTGACCTTTCTTTTCCCCTCCCTTACCTCTGGGACACTGGGACCTGTCTCACCTGGGTGTCTGGTGTGCTTTAGCCAGCAGAAAATCCCTGCTGCTCTTTTTGGACTGATCCTCGTCCCATCTCCCCATGTGGTGTTGCTGTACTTGAGTGGGAGAAGTCTGGTTTTACAGGTGTTGGTGGCCTGGGAGAGAGGATGCTGCTGGTCTGGGAGGTGGGGGGTGGATGGGTAAGAACATCTGCAGCACAGGGCAGTGCCACTTTAATATTGAAGGTGAAGCTTTGCTAGCCCTGCTGTGGGCAGAGAAGGACTCTCACCAAACAGTTCCTTTGCTACCAGAAGAATGAACCCCAAAAGGAAGAGGCTACAGGAAGGTTTCCAGTGACATGGTCTGGCTGACAGGGTCTGGTTTTGGCTCCTTTGGCAACCACGTCCTTTTGTAGCAGCACCTGCCCCTTCTCACCCTCAGTGCAGCCCCTTGCCTTGCTGAGCAGCCCTGGAGCAAGGCAGGATAGGGTGACAATGTCCAGCACCGCTGCTATGCTCCCTCCCTCACTGTCCTGTGGAAAATATGTGGGGTTTTTTAAATAAAATTGAGAACGCGGCTTGTGTAGCCATTCCAGCACCTGCGACAGAGGATGCAGGAGGAGGAGGATGGGTGATCCCCACCAGCACTGGGGCCATCACAGCTGACCATGGTCATGGCATTGGACACTGCAGTGCTGTAGGTCCAGATGGGGCAGCTGCCAGTCCAGGGGTCCAGGGTGGATATGGAGAGCACCAGGAGGGTTGCACCACCCCCTGCATCACCGGCTGCCTCTTGGGCCCCCCAGCTGTTGTGCCACTGGATGGCAGCAAGGCCCCACTTCCCGGCTGCCACGTGTGGGCAGGCATGTCCTCCCTGGGAGGACAAGGCCCCACGGCCATCTTCTCCTCGCCCACCCTGGGGCTGCTCAGGGCAGGGGGAAATGCTCCCCTGGGACCTGTGAGGGCCTCATCAGCCTGGGGATACCCTACGTGTGCTGGGGAGCCCTCACGGGAGAGGCAGCGTGAGCGAGGGAGGGAGCGGGAGCAATGGCCGAGGCTTAGCCGATTAGCCTTATTAATAGACGTTAAACCCCGGCTGGGAGTGCTGCCAAGTTCCTGCAGCACCCCCCTTGAGAGGCTGAGGGGGTTTACAGCCCAAGCCTTTCCTTCCCCAAAACACCAGCTGGAGTGAGCGGGAGTGAGCTGGAGTGGGCTCCAGCCCCGTCCCTGGAAGTAAACAGGTTCCCCCATGTTGCCAGACGCTCTTTGTAAGTCAGCCACGAGGGGGTTGTTTTGGAGGGGATTATTGAGATGCCAGGACTGAGCTGGATCAGGTAGTTTGAGCCATGGCTGGCAATGATTCCTCAGCTGATGCACCTTGTCTTCCTTCTGTGCTGGGCACATGCCCTGCCAAACCTCTCCAGCTCTTCTTCGTCCTTCTGGCTGGCAGTTTAGGAAGTGGTGGGGTGCTTCAAAAGCAGCACCTTCCCCCATTTTGCCCCTTATTGAAGCACGGGCCCGCGTTCTCATCCTCCACTGCCCCCTCCCCAGCACCCTCGCTCCTGGCTGGGTCCACCAGCAACATCCCCCAGCCTTACTCTGCTTCTGCCTGACTTGATCCCTCTGAATCTACCCCTGCCAGCCTGCCCCACCCTGCTGGGGGAAAGGCAAGGAGCCCCTGGGCAGCAGGATTACCAAGGGATTCGGGCTGCGGCAGGCAGCCACCTCGTCCCCATTGGCTGGAAAAGCCTCTTAAAAGTGCAGAAGTGCTTTCTGCCCGCTCAGCACCCGCTGGTCTCTGCCGACCTGAAACCATAAGCAGCTGCTGACCCACATCCACACTGGGAGTGCTGTAGGGCACTACTTGCACCCACAGTAGGCAAGGGGGTCCCCCACACGGGGTATCCTCTCAAATTGGCCATAGGCAGCTTTGCTGGACATCGTCGGAACTGGAGGAAAGAAGGCTGAGAGCGGGATTAGCTGTCTTGTGAGGACGTAGCTGCCCCAAAGGAAGAAGTGGAGCACAAGAGACTGCTCAACAGGTGCTAGATTCCTGTAGGCCCACCATTCCTGTGCCCGCCATGGAGCAAAGATCCAGCAGGACCATCTAACCAGGCACCTTCATCTAGAGCCAGAGGGAGAAGGAAACGCTGCTGACGGGTCTGCCCAGCCCTTGGAGGCTCAGCTTGTCAGGAGGTCATCGTTTCATTGCACAGGTCAGTGGCACGGGGGAACGTTTGCATACTTGCTCTGACAGTTTTTGGGACAGCTTCCCCCATGCCTTTGCTTATTTAATCCTCTAAGAAATGCTTTCCCAGAGCATTGTCTGTGGGCTGGGGAGGCTGCTGGTGTGAATTGTGGCCCATGCATTTGATAAACAGATCCCCTCACCCCATCTGTACTGTGTGGAGGTACTAAGAGCCATCTTAGCATTTATGTGGACCCTCCGGGATGCAGCTTGTCCAGCACAGTGGGGCTTTGCTGGGCACCATCCAGCACTGGCTGCACTGTGCTCTATGTGTGTCCAGGGATTGGCAGCCACATCTCAACCTGCTGTGGTCTTCTCCCTCCTAACCTGGGCTTGTGACTTCTGGTGCTGGTGCAAGTCTTCTCCTTGCACCCATTTTAGCAAGCTCTGTGGCAGTGCCAGCTCTGTGGTGCACTGGAAAGGATAGGTGCCTATGCTGATGAGCATTCAGGTGCATGTGAACTTATACATGATATTTTTACCTGTGAATAAAGCTCCTTAACTAAAGAGAAAATGATAGCAAGCTGTAGAGTGCGCAAAGGCAGGTGCAGAGTACCTGGTGTGTCCACTGTGTGCAGGTGTGAGCTGAAAAGTGTATGTGCTGTGTTAGGAACAAGGCAGCTCTGAACTGCCTGGCTCAGCACTGGGATAAATCTCCAGCAGAGGTGTGCTACAGCATATCGGCCTTGGAAGCATCTCCACGGGTGAGCTCCTCTGGTGCATTTCATCTTTTTCAGCTAACATAGAGCTGCAGGCAGGTAAAAATGCTTTAATGCTTAACTGCGTGGTTGCGTAGCACTGAGCAAGTGGCTCCTGTGGAGGTACCCGTCCAGCTCCAAACTCAAACAGCACTGACGGATATTTGTCTTACCTGCTCTTCAAAATGAGATGCCATGGACTCAGGCAATGCTACAGAAATCTCTGAAGAGCCTGTCACAGTCAGACAAATATTTTCTTGCTAGGAAGCTGGCGGGGGGCTGCGGGTTTCAGGGAAAGATGAATAGCACTGGTTTGATTCCTTTGATTTGTGGTGTGGGATGTGATCAAGAAGAGCGAGGCTGGGAAAGGGGACTTGGATAAAAAGTCTCAGGGTGTTTTTGGTGGTTTGGCAGCTGCTCTTTTTTGAAGTAGCTATGTGCAGCACCATGTTACAGTGGTGGAGAACCAGCACTGATCAAGAAATCACTGTGCTTTGGCAGCAGGTCACCTTTTGTACAAGTGGATCTAGTTTATCAGTCAGGTGAAGCTGGGAGAGGAACAGCAGGTAGGTAATGGCAGAAGCTGAGGAGACTGTTCAATCTGGTTGTCAGAGTGCAAGTGATCCAGATAACACTGGGAAGGGTGTGAGGGGGGAGTTGGAGGTAGGGGTATGATATGGAAGTATGGGAGTCTAGGTAGCTGGAGAGTGTATAATTATTCTTTTCTTCCTTGTAATTATTCTTTGCCTTAAAAATGTCTTTATAGCACTGTGTTCTCAGTTCATGCCTTTGTCCCTAGCCACAGTCCTTGAGATCTGGGATGGGAGGGAGAGATTGGAGTAGCCTGTGCCAGCCCCTGCGGTTCAGCCTGAGAGCTGCAAGGATATGGCCATCCCTCAGAGTTGCCCCAATCCATGCTCAGAGCCAGATTCTACTCAAACTTTTTATGGCTGATGGGGTCCTGAAAGTTTGGGGAACTCTGGTGACAGGCATCTGGGTGCTGCACTGAATAACCCCCTGTGTTTTCAGGAGCAAGGGTGCCCTGTGGAGGGGAAGGAAGGGTACAGCTGAGAGTGGCTGATAGGGTAGAATCACCTCTTGCCAAGCAAGGGCCCTTTACATGCTCTGCCCCAGCTTATGCTCCCCAGACTTTGGTCTAAAAGATTTGCACTTGTTTGACATGCAGAGCAACAGCAGCTATGGGAATCAGTTCAAGTTTTCCCCATTGCTTGGAGAACACTAAGAACAGGTACTTCCTTGAGAAATGCACCCAGATCCAAAACTACCATGTTCTAGCTGTGAGTGTTGCATCCACACAAGTGTCCTTGTTCCCTCAGTAGTCTCTAGTTGGTGTGTGACTGCTGGCATTTCCCACAGCTGCCAGTGCCAAGGGATGGCAACATTGCTGCTGTCTTGTAGTCCTTCAGCCAAAGGAGCTGGGGAGAAGGGAGGACCTGTTTTGGAAGTGTACTGCCAAGAAAGATGGTGATGATAGAATACAAACTGGACCCAAAAAGCCCAGCTCATGTATGGAGAGCGCTTGTTTGATCCTACTTGGGAGCATCTATAATCAGAGTCCAGTGATGGTTTTGCATACAGGTGTGAAAATAAGCCTGAATGACCAAGAAACTGAGGCCAATGGTGCTGGAAGGGGCATGGCAGAGACCTGGTACCTAAGGGAGAAAGGAAAAACATACCCACAGCAGCCAGCTGGAGCGAAATTCCTGGGCAGCTTAAGAGCCCCGAGAGCAACTCACAAGACATCCCCTCTAATTCCCTCCTTCTCCCCACTTAGGCTTTGTTCCGGCCCCTCCATGTAGGTACAGAGCCCTAATCTCTCTGGCACGCAAATAACCACCAGTTTCCCATGCTTTCCCCCTTCACCTATTTCAAAAATCTGGTCCCTGACAGTGGGGAAGGGAGGCCAAAGGAGAATGCTGTGCACCAGGGCCTCCCAGAGGAAAGCACAGTGGGCTTAATGGATCTCCTTGCCTCACTGCTGGAGGTTTCTGTAGCAGGGCAGGTCCAGGAGGGCTCCCAGCTGGAGCAGACCAGCATGGGAGAGGCTCAAAGAAAGATTTTGGGAACCAAAAAGGGTTCACATTGCTGGTCTTCACCTCACACCACCTGCAGGCGAGGCTAGATATGGAGCAAGTGGGGTGCTGCAGATCCTAATGCCGCATCAGATGCAGTTCTCCAGGCTCAGCTGGGAATTGTGACAATGCTCAGCTGTGTCTGACTGGAGGTTATGGAGCTGTTGGGCTGCCCCAGGCTCAGGAGGAGCTTCCCACCTTTGCCCAGCTGAGGCATGATCTTGCAACCAGAATTAATCCTGCCTTGCTTGGCAGGATGAAGGTGCAAAGAGCTGATGTGGTCCCTCTGTGGAGGCTCTCAGAGCGTGGAGGTGGTGGGCATGGAGAGAAACCTTGTAGTAAACATCTGCCTGCTCTGTTTTTCTCTACTCTTCTTTCAGTCCCTGAATATTATTTCCTCTCTCTCTCTCTGTTGCCCTACTTCCTTCCTTCCCCACCTTTCCCTTCCTAGGCTAGACGATGGGGAGACCTGACCCAGAGGAAGGGCAGCTCCCAGCTCCTGTGAAGCCCCCGGATGGTGGCTGGGGCTGGATCGTGCTCTTTGGCTGCTTTGTGATCACCGGCTTCTCCTATGCCTTCCCAAAAGCCGTCAGTGTCTACTTCAAGGAGCTCATGAAAGATTTCCATGTTGGCTACAGTGACACAGCCTGGATCTCCTCCATCATGCTGGCCATGCTCTATGGAACAGGTGATGCTTGGACACACTTCCCCCTCCCCAACTTGTGCCTTCCCCACTCTGCCATGGGCCCAGACCATGTCTCCACGGACCCTTCTCATGCTTACTGGCCTGGTCATGAACCAAGATGCAGAATACAATTGTCCAATCACTTCTCTTCTAGAAATGTGCTGCATTTCATGTCCCTGTTTCCTCTGCCCCAGGAGACCTCAGGGATCACCTCACCTGCCTCTTAGGCAGTTGTTTGCTTCCACTGCTGAAGTGTTGTCCCCATCACACCATAACCTCTTGTTCCTAGGGAACAGGGGTCTGAGGGCAGAGAAAAGCAGAAATCTCCACACCACAGCCTCTCTCCCTTGGCCAGGCCCCTTGGATATGTATCTAAGCAACCAAGTACCAATCTCCATCATTACTGTTTCATCTTTCCCGAGTGCCCTGCTTGGGCTACCTGTCATTTCCCAGTTGTCCTGTTTCCTTCTTGTCTCCTACTCTGTCTCTTCTGCTTCCTCCTAGGACCAGTATGCAGCATCATGGTGAACCAGTTTGGCTGCCGGCCCGTGATGCTCATCGGCGGGCTGCTTGCTTCCGCTGGGATGATCCTGGCATCTTTTACCACCAACATCATTGAGCTTTATCTGACAGCTGGTGTGCTGACAGGTGAGAGTCCCATGAGTTGGTGGGGGACAACACAGGCTTACCTGGGGAGAAGCCAAGACCGTGTTGCATTTCTCTTTAGCACTGCCATGTCTAGCATCAAGTCTCCCCTCATCTATTTGCATGTGCTAGGGGAAGCATCTAATCCTTAATGTTGCACTTGTGAGGAATGCATCTGCTGGATCTAAACAGGCAGGGCCTGTGGCTGAAGGGAGAGAGACAGGAGAAGTGGTGCTCAGCGAACATGGCAGTTGGGGTGGTGTCAGTATATGATGCTAGGGGAGCCTGGCAAAGCTCCTGTATAAGGCACAGGTCCTGCCTAAACATGGCCACAGTCACCTGATTCAAATACACTTCAGGCTTGTGAGGAACATGTCCATCCCACCATGGACTTCAGGCTAGGATAGTCTGAGTGGAAGTTTTCAGCTTGTTGCAAACCACACTCATGTTCTTGCGCTCCCTGTCTGACTCTTGACTCTCACTTTCATGTAGGTCTGGGTATGGCGTTGAACTTCCAGCCCTCACTGATCATGCTGGGCACCTACTTTGACAAGCGTCGGCCTCTTGCCAATGGACTGGCTGCTGCTGGCAGCCCCGTCTTCCTCTCCTCCCTCTCTCCACTGGGGCAAGTGCTGCTGGAGAAGTTTGGTTGGCGAGGAGGGTTCCTTATCATGGGGGGCCTTCTGCTTAACTGCTGCACTTGTGGGGCAGTTATGAGACCCCTGGATATGGGCATGAAGCGGAAGATGGGGAAAGCTCAGGACAAATATGAAGCCAAGGAGATGCTGCCCATAGGAGGGAAATCAGAGGAGGGAATCAGCACCACTGATGGAACCAAGAAAGCCAAGAAAGGCAAGAAGAAGCCCAAGAAAGGAAAGAAGCTTCTGGATTTTAGTATCTTTTCCAACCGAGGGTTTATCATTTACACTATTTCAAAATTCATCCTGGTCTTGGGCCTCTTTGTGCCCCCCATATTGCTGGTCAACTATGCCAAGGACACAGGCGTACCAGACACGGAGGCTGCGTTCCTGCTCTCCATCATCGGTTTCATAGACATCTTTGCCCGCCCAGCCTGTGGCATGGTGGCAGGGCTGAAGTGGGTCCGCCCGCACGTGGCGTACCTCTTCAGCTTCTCTATGCTCTTCAATGGCTTGACAGACATCTGCAGTGCCAGGGCGAGCAACTACACAGGGCTGGTCATCTTCTGTGTCTTTTTTGGCATCTCTTATGGCATGGTGGGAGCACTGCAGTTCGAGGTGCTGATGGCCATCGTTGGCTCCCAGAAGTTCTCCAGTGCCATCGGGCTGGTCCTACTTATCGAGGCTTTCGCTGTGCTCATCGGTCCACCCTCTGCAGGTAGGTCTTCTACTGCAAAACAAAGGTGATTCGTTTGGCTGCCATTCCACAGTATTGCAGGTATGGGGCATGGACACACTATTTGAAGAAAGACCCTATTTCTCAACTTTAAATTTCCTCTGGAAGCTGAGAGGTGATCTCTGCCTTCATTGTCAATGTTGCATAAAGTCACGTTATGGATAGGGTCAGGCACATGCTGCAGGCAATCCTTTGAGAGTTTTCATCAGGACAAAGCAGGAGTCTTTCAAGTTCGCCATGTGTCCACAGCCTTTTAATAGGTACTGTAAATAGCAACCTCAATTTGTGATGGCCCCAATCCCATGACACAGGTGTTTTGGTGTCAATCGAGTCAAAACAGTTTGTACAGCCCCCTGAGGCATTTGCTGTTACTTTTTTTTAAGAGGATTAAGACACCCACAGCTTTTCAGCCTGCCTAGTCTAGGTCACAGACCCTGGTAAGGTCTGTGCCCCACAAACTGCCCATAAACTGTTGAATGGAGAGACCCTTCACCCAAAAGATTGGTTTAGGTTAATGTTAAGTGTCTGATTAGGTCTAAGAAAGCCAAATCACGCCAAAGCCTTATTTCCAAATGAAGTGCAGTTTCCTGCATGTGTGATTTGTGAGGAAGAGTCAGGGACAAGACCATGGGCAAATCCCCAGGCAGGAACTACTCCATTGCTTCCTGCACTGCCTTCCTTTAGTTGTAACACATGGACTAAAGCCCATCAGTGAAGACCTCGGTGTGAAAGATCTGTACCCCAGCAGTTATGAGCAAAACTTGCCCTCAGTAACTCCACCCAGCTCTCAGGTAAAAATTGGTGGCCCTCTTAGTGCTAACAATAATTCATGTCTCACCTTGTAAGCGGTGGGGCAGTTGGCAGTCCTAGGCCAGGGAGGGTCAAGAAATAAGTGTCTTGGAGTCATCTGTAGAGAGATCATAGTGGGAGAGGAGGATTTAACAGTGCCTTGCTCAAAGGAGCAAGGCACACCAGTGGGTGGTGACAGGGGACATTCCTCAGCTCTCCTACCTCAGTTCAGCTGTGCCTTGGTACTGTGTGCACGCACAACGGAATGCAGACTGTGCAGGCTCACCAAAGAATGGTGTTGGGAGCAGCCAAGTCATGGTTCCCACTTTCCTTGCTGCTGCAGCACCCCTGGTGCAGGAAGCTCGAGTGTGCTGAGAAACCTGATGGCTTGGACTGGGGGGAGCAGGACTTGGGGGGAGCAGGACTCAGGGGGAACAGTGCTCAGCTGGGAGAAGGGGTTTGAACAAAGTGGCTTTGTTTGGTGTAATCCTCCTGAGCTGCTTCCCGCCCCGTGGGGCTGAGGGGGTTTGGCACAGGATAAGCTGCACACACACGCACACACACGCCTGCCCGCTTGTGCACGCAGTCTCCTCACTTGCCATCCGGCTTGGGTGAATTGGGGCACATTCACCTGGGGGGGATTTGCCACATGCCTCCCATGACTGCTCCAGGAGGCACCTCAGTGTGTCCTGGGGCTGGTTTCAGGTCATGCACTGTAGTGCAGCAGGGACTGGGGATCACATGCACAGTCAGGAGCATGCAGGACTGGGATGAAGTCTGCAGTCCCATGGCCACATCCTGACTGCGGTAGGGCAGCTGCTGAGGCTCCCCAGCACCAGAGACTGGGAACCCTGCCTCCATTGCCAGCCCCAGTGCTTTCAAGATACATTGAGAACATTTCTTTGGTAGAGAAACCATCAGGTGTGGGCCAACCAAAGGGATTTCTTTGTCAAAGAGAGGTTTCTTCTTCACTTCAGAATGTTTTCCAGACATAATAGCTTAACAAATAGCAATGCCTCTCAAATTTTCTTTTCTGAGACTTGACCAGCCAAGTCATGAGAGACTTTGCTCACCTTGGCAAGAAGAAGGTGGCCCACCATGGTGCAAGACCATAACATCAGTGTGTCACAATTACTTCAGGTTCTTCAAACAAGGGAAAACACCATCCCTGCACTCTTATGGTACTTTCCCTGGTGGTACAGTGTGGCTCTTGCCCAGGGTGATTTTTAGACATTCAGGTTTCTTGCTCTTCCATTGAGGAATGGGTCCTCAGACAAATGTAGGTGCTGCCCACCTGTGGTGGGCTGTCTGTGCAGGAGTGCATGGGCTGAAGCTGACCCCCTCATTTCTTCTTCAACCACCAGGCCGGCTGGTCGATGCTCTCAAGAACTATGAGGTGATCTTCTACCTGGCAGGCTCAGAGGTGGTGCTCTCTGCTCTCTTCCTGGCTGTCGCCAGCTACTGCTGCCTGAACCGAGGGAAGAAGAAGGAGCCTCCCCCAGAGAACAACCCCTCTGCCGGAGGTGGGAGCGACACCGAGGAAGCAGAGTCTGACGTGCAGGAAGCCGAGGAGCACAGCAGTGACAACCACCAGCCGGCCCACAGCACTGACAATGCCGTGGTGGCAGCCAACGAGGAGGCCAACCACGTGGCAGAGGAGCAGAGCGGGGAGGGAGGCGGGTGTCCTGCGGGGGACAGGGAGGTGTTGGCACGAGACGGCTGCAACGCTGACCAGACGGTGGAGAGGGACAGTTTCTAGCCAGGGCAGGGGAACAGGGATGTATAAAACTGGCCTTGCGTGCATGCACCTCAGCATGGGAGGGTAGGTGGGATATGGGGAGGAGAAAGCTGGGACAAAGGCAGATGTAAGAAGAAAGAGGGAGAGGTATAATAGCTGGTCCTTAAGTACATATGTCCACATACCTACCCAGTGATATGACTACTTGCATCCTGCACTCATGCTGGTACAACACAGGCTCAAAGCAGCCCAAACACCAAAAAGAAAAAAAAAAAAATCTTTCCTTACTTTCAAACCAGCCCTGGAGAAAGTCTTCTGAAGAGGCTGCCAAGGACTCTCCTTTTCCTTCTGCATTGTCACAATACTGAACACAAACAATTAGAGACTCTTTGTAATCAGATCTGGTATGCTTTGTTCTGGTGTCAGAGTTTCCTTCACCCCATTTCCAATGGTTGGGATAGCATCAGTCTCATTGGCAGTGGGTTTAGGAGGTCGTGTAATTCATAGCTATCACCTGGGCCACCTTCAGCTACCACCAGCATGGGGGTAGACACCACGTTCCCTGCAGTATCCCCCTTGGGCGCTGCCAAACCGCGGGGGGCCACCAGCTCCAACCACCTCTGTCCGGTGCAGCTTTTGTGGATGGTAAAGCTGGGGCATTGACACGTGATGCTGCTTTTCCAAGCAGGGAAGTGCTGTGTTAGAGGCTGCTGCTGAGGTACAAGAAGAAGACATCTAAGAAAGGCTAATGCCATTAGGTGTGCAGCCACAATACAGAGCCTCGCTGACAGGAATAGCACCAAGCCAGCTTTATCTAGGCTCAAGTGAGTCCTGTTTGACGTGTGAAGGGAACAACCTGGCCCCTATGGGGGTGGGGGTTTCAGGGCAGGTAAATAACCATGTCCCAAGCAATTATCCACTGAGCAGGAATGGCACCAGACATGCCTGTGTTTTCCTTTTAAATAGAGAAAACCCCCTTACATAAAGGAATCAAAGGTAAGGCAGGAGGACAAGCCCCAGCCCCTGGGTGCCACTAAAGAGTGTTGGAGCACGTGGTAAGGCAGGCATGACCCCCTCACCCCCCGATGCAGTGGTGGATTCAGAGAGGACAACCTTCCCTGGCATGCTTAAACCACTTCTAATCTCCTTTAAGGACTGGATCTTTTATAAACACCTCTGACCAAAGCTCCTTCTTCCGGTTTCCTGAACTGCTTCACCTCAGAGACCCCAGGGAGAACCTGTGACTATAACAAGGGATCAAAAAACTAAGCAGAGGGCTACAGGGAAGGCAGCTCATGGGGCCACCAAAAGAGGCGTTTCATTCCACACCAGACTGACTACAAATTAATGGGTAATTGGTCAAACCTGCAGGACCCATAAAGCCATTTAAACACAGCAGGAGCATGAAGGAAAGGGTTTCATTATAGATGCTCCCAAGCAAAAAGCAGTAAATGATAAGCAAAATAAAGCTTATTATAAAATTGAAGAATATCAGTTTAAGAAGAGACAGAAGAACTGGAAATTGGAGGGGAGAAAGTAAATCCCATGGGGCTGTACCCTGCCCCACCTTGGGTAACACCACTGTTAGATCTGATTTTGAGCCAGTCATAGTGGTGACTTTGAGCTTTTTCCTATTCAAACTCACTTTGAAACTTTGCAGTTCAGAATAAGTACTGTGACAAACCCGAGATGGGAAGCCCTGTGGGAATGGGAGCAGCAGCAAGAGTGATGGGGCCCTTCATTCATGATGTAGGCCTTCATTCACTGCTCTGCAAGCTTGTTCTCCCTCCTCACAAGGTAAGATCCAGATATTTCTGTTCCACCAAGTTGCTCTGCAGCTCTTTCCCCAGCCATACCAAACCCCTGTCCCCCAGGCTGCATTTCCCTTATTCACTAGTGCCTCTTCCAAGAAGGAGCTCACAACTTCCCAGAGGTCCAAGGTCCACAGCATGAAAACAACTGCCCTTGTCAGCGAGGCAGGTCACTAGAACAAGGTCCCCTCTGTTTCCTTGTCACCAGTCAAAAAAATTTCCCACTAAGCCTCCCGTTCTTAAATCTTCTCTCAAAAGCACAGAGAAGTGCTTAGGGTATGAGATCTCACTAGAGATGGTGCTGCAAGATTTCCAGAACTCTTCCTAAAAACCCAGCTATGCTGCCTTCCACTTTGCCTTGCTGGCTTTTAGACAGGCTCCACTGAAGCCTGTTCCTCTCAACTGCTCCATGTTTTGGCACAACAGCCAGCTCTGAAAGAGGATCAGGGACTTAAGCATCAGCTGAAACTTGTGATGCAACAGCTGAGCTGTGTGGAAAAGCTGGCCGTGGAGGGGTGCAAGGATGCCACCTTAGCAGGACTGAGGCAACTGGTGGCTTTAAAAGGACAGTGTTCCCCTGGGAAGCCAAGACACAGAGAAGCTGGTGTTACATGGAAGACTGGCCTTGCTACAGTATTTATAAGCCTCTTCCTCGGGAAACCTGTGCTGCAGGGATCACCATAGCTTGGTACAGGGATTACACACCAGTATGAGCAAGAAAAAAATGGCCAGCACATGACACCCATCTTCCAGCATACACCCATGAAGGACAGGAAATGGAATGTCACATTTTTCTTTATTAGAGACAACAGTCAGTACACCGGAGTCCATCTAAATTTTCCAGAGCAGCTTGACCACGAGATGGCTTTCTTGCAGGCACCCACTGAGATGAAGAAACTCCAAAAACAAATCAAAGAGAAAACCAAACCAAACCAAACATCTCAATCATAAATTAATGCCCTTAAATAACTTCTCTCATGACCACTAGAATGAAATGACAGAGAAGTCAAAACCCTTGCCCTGAGAAGCACACCACTCCTGGCAGTTGTGCTGCCCACTAACAGAGAAAGTGCCATCTGCATCTGGGGTTGGCCCACAGGGATGGAGGGAGGGGAAGAGAAAAGGAAACAAGCAGCCTCACCTACCTCAGGTTTCCTTTTCCTTCTTCCCTTGTGCTGGGGAATGGGATGTTAGCTACTGCTGTTGGCTGGTCCAGAGGCAGCACAAAGTGGTTGTGCAGAGAGGAGAGCATGGGGTGGTACACTAGTAATGCTCTGAACTAAAAAAATCGCAAAGCCTCTGTCTGAAGTGCATGTCTTCCTCTCTCCTCAAGGCTTTCCATCTCTCCTCTGTAGTTTAAGGATGGGATATTTCCATCATGGTTCTAAGGTGGCTCCTTAGAAGGAGCTTGGAGATAGCGAGTGGTGGGGTGAATAAAACAATGCTGATGCTAACACTTTCCCAGAGCACAAGGGGAGGACAGAAGGGGGCTGTTCTCACCGTTCATAATCAGATCCAAACCATTAGCTGGCTTCCATGTGCCAAAAGGGAGCGGTGCTTCCCATGTGCTCAGCGGAGTCCTGTCTGCCCAGAGCCACATGGCAGTGTGGTAGGGGGTTTTCCTCCCCACACCTCAGTACCCAAGTTGGGTAGCAGAAGTCTCTGGGGGCAAAAAGAATATCCAGGCAAACAAGCAAAGGAAAAGCGAGGAAAGCAGAGGTTGGTTCCAATCCAACCAGCTACCCTCACCCAAAGCAAAGGAGGAATCCCAGGCTGGACATACACTGAAATCACAGAGGATGAATCGCCATGTGAAATACATGTTTTCATAACAGTCTGCAAAGTCTTTCCTCTGGCCGTGCTGGCACACTCAGGCATCATCAACAAGCTTTTCTCCATTTGCATCTTCCTTCCCACTACCCTCTCTCTCACTTTCTCCTTCTTCTTCTGCCCCATCTGTGTATGTGTCCTTTTGCCCATAGCTGAGAGTTGTGCGGGCAAGGTCCACCTCAATGGGAAAGACATCTGCATCTCGGAGCACAGCATAGCAGTCGTCATAGTACTTGGACATCGTGGAGACAAAACGCTGGAGCTGGAACACGATGTCCTGCACTGTAGTGAAGACACGTTGGGAAAAAAAAAATCAAGTGAAAACCCTCCTCCCAAACAGTGTGAAGGCTGTGATAAAGCCTCCCTTGCCAGCATTAGACACAGTCTCCTATGCGCTAATCCCTTTTGGATCCTGAGGGTGGATGTCTGGGCACAGCCACAAAACAGTTCTTCAGCAAAGACTCCTGAGCCGAGAGGAAGGAGGAGCACGAAGGCCAAAGCCGTGTCTGCCTGACCCCTTCAGGTTCCAGACTCACCGTGTTTCTGGTCCAGGAGCTCTATTTTCTCCAGCACGTCCTTCCTCATCTTGGCAAATCGCGTGCGAGCCTCCTGACGGCAACGCAGGATAAGGCGGTACTCGTAGTTCCCAGTGCTGACCCGGTAAAGGGGTTCACCCAGAGCCTGCCAAAAACACAGCACCATTTCAGAGAACTCCCACAACAGTGCTTGTACACAGTTTGCCTACGAGTGTGGACTCACAGTGACTGTGGGTTACTACAGAACTTTCAGGCTCATGGGAACTGTAGTCAGGAAGAAGAAAACATGAGGAACACTGAGCCACATCAACAGCTGGCACTCAGTGAGGTCATTTTGAAGGCCAAATACGCACCCACCACAGTAAAGAAAAGCACCACTACTAAGCAATGACAGGCACCTTTCAACGCAGCATGGAGAAGTGGCACGGCTTATCTGGACTATTAAGACAAGCATTATGAACAAACAAGTTTCTATCAATCATACAAAAAATCGTGCCCTCCTCTGCAAGCTTTGCCCTGCGTGGATTGCACAAGAAACCCCATGGTATCTACAACCATCCAGACACAATGCTGGAAACCATACAGGAAGAGACCTATACGTTGCCCCACAAAATACTTTTGAGAGGAAGGTGTTAGGTCTGTCAGCAGAACAGCACCCTGCCCCTGCACCTGTAAATATAACACATACGTAAAAATCCATGTTACGGACTGCGGTTCGCTAACGCACACTGTATCTGCCAAAACCCAGACATGTTACTGTGCTGGGCAACTGATATTCTTTCCTTCCTATTTAGAAGGAAAGACACAATGAAAGATTGCGTTAGGAAAGTTTTATTCCTTCCTGGCACTTGGGAACTAGGCATTCCAAAAAAATCAAATGCCTGCTCTGAGATGGATACCTACGATAAAAAAAGATCTTACTTTTATGCAGGGAAACTGGGATGTATGGGACACCTTTAGCTATCTTAAACAGAGCTGTCAAGGATTAAAGTCATAAAACCCTCAGTTATAAAAACCCTATTGTTAAGAGATCTTTAATCAATTTTCCTCACTTACAAATGCAGTTTCACATGAGTTTTGCTGCAGAGAAGCTAAACCTCCATTTCTCAGAAACAAGCCCAGAATTAATGATAAGCTGTACACTACACACAAATGGAATCTGTGAAGATAACACCTTAATCCTCCTTACATAACCTAATCGTACTTAAACACTGAGAGAGGCAGCCACTGAGAGAACAAGCTGCAGAGATGTCTGGTCCCTCTACTAGTGATTCATGGCAGTTATTGGCAGGCAGCATTTAAGGATCCCAACTTTCTAGTAGTTAAGAACAAACGTGTGTAATTCTTAGGATGCATTCACTAACTGGTGTGCCAATAGGCATAGGAGGGCTTTTGCAATTGTACTGGTACTCACAATGCAGCTGTACTCTTCATCGTCCATCTCTTTGACTTTCAGGCAATAAGACTTTGTAGATTTTAAAATAATTAAAACAAAACAAAACAAGAATGAAATATTAAAAACTAGAGGCAATTTCATCATCACCCATACCCATAGAGCTGTATCATTTCAAGCCTTCCTTCAATGCTACAGTCACTGAGGAAAGCACAGTGGGATCAGAGCATATTAAACATCCAAGGTAGAAAGAAAATCTATTTAGAGAAAGATGGGGAGAGACAACAGTGGGGGAGAGACAACAGTGGGGGAGAGACAACAGTGGGGGAGAGAGAAGGTGCTTAGTATTTTTATTAGAGGCAAATACTTTATGTAAGTATAATCTAGTAAAAGAAAAATCCTGTGTTCATCTGCTGTCTGGGAAAACAGAGTACAAGACAAGTATGAGACAGGAATAAATAAAGAGAGAAAAAAAGATTAATTGCAGGAAGGATTGAGGTAGGAAGAGATGCTGCCATATTCCTTTGCCTTAGGACTGTAGCTCCAAATACTTCTCTCAACAGATAAAAGGAAATAATTCTTGAAGTTATAGAACAGGTGCACTTAGCAACCTTACCCTTTCTGGGTGTAGAAAACAAGGGGGAAGTGGAATGAAGAAAGAAAAAAATGGCATGGTCTAAATGAAAGCAAATATGACTTGACAGTCATTTACTTTGGCTAAAGAAGACTACCCAAAATTACCAGAAAAATATGGACTGGAGATCTATTTAGAGAAGTTCAAGAGCATAAGTTGCATAAGAACTCTCTGCAAATCAGGAAATTAATTCATTTAGAAAATAAATCATCTGAGTTCTGGGAGATCTTTCTAATCAGTGAGAAGTATTAGGTTGAAAGCAAGTGCCTGAATCTGAGTAATCTGGCAGTAAACAAAGAACTGGAAAAAATAATGCATTCTCTCATGCACTGTGGAATGACAGATTTGTGATTGTATAGGCTATGTGAGTTTCAGGATGATTCTATGAAACTTAATTTCAACCAGTACTTAAGAAAACCTAAAAGCAAGCAGCTCACCAGATATTCAAACTTGACATCCAGGTATTTTTTGATAGTCAGCCTTGTGTCAGGAATGGCTTTATTCAGATATGTATTCAAATCAGTAAGCATCTGCAAGGGAAACACCCAGCTGCTGAATATATAAGTATGACTATTCATCAAGTAACCTTCTACCCAAAGTATGGCAGGAGACTGCCTCAAGTTAACTCTTTTTTGAACTACAGCAGATTTGAAAGAAAATGTTTGCTCATGACTCAGAATTGTCACTGTTAGAGCTTCCCTAACTGTCACTGGCAAGTGGTTTCAGTGTTAGAAATGCATGACCCACTTCTAGTCTGAAATCATCTACTTTTGACTTGTCTTGTTTCATTTTCAGCTGGTCCTGAAAACAGCTCTGCTGGACTCAAAAGTCTCACAACCCAACACTGTCCACCCAACATGGAACTGAAAGTGGTGCCCAAACCAACATCCTCTTTGCTAAACTAATTGGACAGATCCCCTGGAGACTCTCAAATATACTGACTGAAATCCTTAACTTGTTCCTGGATGGCTTATCTAAACTCTTTGAGTGACATCTTTTAATTACAGGTACTACCCCCTTATTCCCAAATGGAGAGGAATATAGTCACATGCAAAAGTCACAGGACAAGACTGATACACTCCCTATGTTACCTCTCACATTCTTTTCATGATAAAGAGTGCCCTCAAGGAAAGCAGACAAGGACTGTTCTTCCCACAACGAATAAGTTTTCAGATCACACCTTCAAAGACAGGTTTCTGCCTTTCTAGATTCCCCTCTCTTCTCCAGACCCTTTACTCCCATGGTTAAATTCTTTACCGGCTTGATTGTTTTCAGAAGGTGAATGCCAAACTTCTCAATGTTGCGATGGGCATCAGCAAATTTCACAAAGGCTTCACTGGCAGCTGGTTGTGGCTCCCTTACACCAATGACAGAGAAAACATCTCCAAATGCTGGATGAGCGGAATAAAAACAGATGAAAGAGGAGGTCAGCCCTGGAGAAAAATCTTGCCTCCATTACTACAACTCCCTCCTAACAACCTTACAAGTAGCTGGGAAATGATGCTATATATTCCCTAAAGGCCAGAGGTTGGCAGGGCATTTCCTCAATGTCTCATGCACAAGACAGGGCCTGCGTTAGCACCGTGACCACTAATGCAGGAGAGTGGCCCTTCCCAGCTCATTTCTGCAACTCTTTGTTTTTTCTGAGTGTGGGAATCATGCATCTAAGTACTGACAAAAACTCCCAAAACTGGAGGTTGGAGATTTATGCTCCCTTTGCTCAAGATTCTTTACCTCTATGTGTCTGAGATAGCTCAAAGAAAGCCCTGAGAAGACTCTTGGTGTGCTCTGTCAAGCCTATGAAGGAAGCCAGAAAAAACATTTAAGTCACTTCACTGAAACATAACGGAGGCACCCTTCTCTCCCATCTGGTGTCTGATGGAAGACGCAGTTTACCTTTGTATAACTCTGCAGTCCTCTCCAGCTCCTCTAATCTCTTCACTAGCCCATCTGAATAGAAACAGAATACAGAATTACAGCAATCCAATTCAGGACATGGTGAAGACCTGATTCAGTGAAAAAACACCAGTTTAACATACTTGGTTCAAATTTCCCTCGCCCCTTAATGCCTGTCCTGTAGTACAACAGCAGGGGAAGCTTTTAAAATATCTGCAAACTTATGTTATAGTGTGGGGCCACCACTATTGGCATTCACTAATGGGTCCCTGCTTTAAATTAATTTGACCTTAGCTAACATTTAAATGGCCCCAATGACAGGTTTTATCACTCAGGAAGGGCAGAGGCAATCACAACAGTGAGGCAGAGCAGAATGCAAGAACTATAAGGAATAATGTGGACCATGCAAGTTACAATAGAAGGCAGGTAAACACTTGAGGGTGAGTGTTCCTTTAAGCAAATGTCCTCCTGAACAACACTTACCATTGCAAAGTATTGCTCGGCTTAACCCCAGGGCATCTGCTGTCCCCGAGCTCATGTTCTCTACCAGTCGATGCTTTACCTTCTTCAATACTAAAGGCGAAAAAAGAGTTGCAAACTGGGATCAGTGTCATTTCTGTGGGCATGAAAATCTCACAGGCACACTTCACTGGTTTCCCAGGCACTGGATAAAACTGCGCTTAACCCAGTACTGAGGCAGCAAGCAGAAGGAGAACACCATAGAAACAGGACGTTCTGGTCCAGCCATGCATAACACATCTTCTAACCTGCCTATCTGTTCTGCTCTCATATCCTACCTACCTCAATCAAGAGAGCTCCAGCAACTCTTTTGGAAGACTATTCCAATCAATCACTTTGCTATAAGCAACCTAACGTGATATTTGGAATTAAACTTTGCTTACGCCACTCACTGTATTACTTAAACTGAAGTGAGGAGACGAGGTTGAAAGCAAGATAAACAGGGTTTCATTCTCAGTGTTGCCCCTTCCTTTACTTTCATCTTTTCAATCCTAGTTAAATCTCTTAGTCACCTCTTGATGGAATGGTGCAAATCACACCCTGCAAATTACTAGAGAGAGTTATGCCCTCCTTGGCATCAGATGACTTAGACACATTTATTTAGAAGCAAACTTGCGGTGCCTGCATATCCCAAGAACTCAACTTAAGTCACAGTGTTCAGCATCTCTGGAAAATTCCTTATTCTCACCACACTTCTGTTTCCTCAGAAGTCCATCTCACTACTCAGGATTTTCATGAATCCCTTAGCACCATAATCACCACAAAAAGAAACGAGAACAAACAGAATAGATGGATTTTTTTGGAAAGTGAGAGACAGTTGTGTAGGCTTAGTTCAAAACAAGCACTTTACTTTAGCAATAAAGGCTCCCCTCTCCCCTCTCTCCCATTAAATATATATTTGTACAAAACTCAGTGTAGATAGGTATTTCATCACTGTTCTCCAAGCTGAGAAATTGCCAGCAGTGTTTTGTACCCATTGCTGTGTACAGCTAAAAATCTCAATAAATCAGTATAGCTCACACGTATTAAAAATAAACTGATCAAATTATTATGCAGTTGAGATTCATCAACCATGCTAAACACAGCACAGAAAAAACAAGCCTCCCACAACAATAGTCAAGCCTTGACTTAACTTTCAAGATTATTTCAAGAAGTTAGGAATGGATTTTTTTAAGCCTGTAATTTTCTTTGACAGTATCCATTTGAAAACAACTGAGTCAAGAGCAAGAAAGGAAACAGGACAAACTTTAATTTTAGCTGGGAACAATTTTTCATCCCTCCCCATTCATTTTAACACTGTACTGTGAAAGAAACCAGTCTTACCGATATCCAAAGACTTGCCCTGCTTTGGGTCAGCCTGAAGCTTGTTGTAGTGTATTGTCACTTCTCCCTGTAGAAAGAGCAAATCCAAAACTGCTGTGCTGCAAACAAGTAGCAGTGGCTTCCTTAACCCAAGGACAATAAATTGCCAACTACAACCCAGAAGGCCCAGCGGCCCCCTCCTACCTCTCACCTTTACCATCTGTATCATCTTGGCCACCTCCACCTTGGTCTTCCCTTTGACAGACTTCCCATTCACTCCTGTGATTTCATCGCCGGCTGCTACGGTGCCATCCAAGGCTGCTGGAGTGTTATCAAACACCTAGCAGAGAGGAGAAAGAGGACAAAAACAGAGTCTGGAATCAAGAGGAAGAGAAAGGTGAATGCGGGGCTAAAGAACAATTACATTCCTCCTATTTAATTCAGTTGTACTTTGTTCACGGTGAAGCCGCAGTTTTCCCCCTTCCCAAGCTATGAGGTGGGCTGATCACCTTGTTCTCTCAGGAAATTCTCACCTCCAGGTTGAACCTCCTCAAGTGTATGATTTCCTGATGTTGAGAATGTCACACTGTTCCGCTCTCATAAGAGCAGGATAATTCCAGAAGTCTTAATTTAATTCTTCCACACCTATTAGGTTCTAGGATAAGGAAATCTTATTCACTGCAAAGTGAGATGTCATCTCCCACTTTGATAAAAACAAACAGCATAGATTCCTCCACGCTTCCCATCTCTCAGGTCAACACTGTTTTACAAAGATGGTTTACTCCTCCCCCCTGAGTGCCCACCTGGACAATGTAGAGACAGGGGCAGTACTGTGCTCCTCCCCCAATGCTGATCCCAATCAGGTTCTGAGAGTCCTTCTTCAGGGTCACTGTCCCAGGTACAGTGGGGATGCCCCTAGAAGGAAAAAGGAGTAAAAGGAAAAACAGATAGGCAGAGCTGCCTCTGTACGAAACAGCTGTATCTGAGTTGATACAAACCGAAAACATAATGGGCGTTGCACATTTGAATTCATCCCTTCATCTCTGCCAGAGTCTATCAGCATGGGCTAGCAGGAACACCTTCTGGGCTATCTTTTTTGGGACTTCATGAAAGGATTAGAGGTGGGAGAGACACCCTCATGCATTGCTAGGCACTGAGGAAACACTATCATTTAGTGCTGGAGTGAGAGGAAAACTTGCACAGCATAAATGAGATGCAAATCAAGTGCTTGATGTTAAATTAATTGCTAATCTCGTCAAACCTTTTACTTGCTTAGGAAATGACAGTGTTTTCCTCCTTGTAGACCAAAGGACTCCGGAGTTTCCACTTATTCTTGTCTCTTATTATCTTTCCTCTATTGTAAGTGGTTTTTTCTCTAGCTAAGGCCAGTAATTTACAGGAGAGCTGTCAGCATTACTTTGCAATCAGAAATGCAAGGCAGCCATTGCAGAGCAACACAAACATTCTCCTTTGCTCACCAGCATAGTGATGCCTCATCCCCAGTCTCCAGAGGGAGCAAGAAATTAGGACTGAACAGCAAGTATGACGTGCAGCACAGTGACAGGAGCAGGTAAATTTATCAACTCTCATTAGATCTTGGCTGCAAAGACTATTTCCATTGTTAGAAAAAACAGGAAAAGACAAGTGAAATACTCACAGCTTATCTTCCTCAATATCATAGTCCAAATCTGCAAACATTGTTTTGGTTAAGTGGAGCCTGCTTGTCTGATGATGCTTATTTCAAACTCCCTGGGAAGAAAGAACAGAATAAACTCCAATAAATGAGTGATCTCCACAGAAAACTGCAGAGAACCAACCTGTTACACTCATTGAGCTCCTTCTCTCTGTTTTTTTTCTGAACGTCACATTATAGTCTCTGCTCTTACATCAAAGATGACAAACATGTCAAATGACTCTGGTTCTCTGCTCTGCATAAGACAGGGGAAAGTCCTCGAGTTTGAATGCTGCATATTTCAAAATGAGTATGTTTCAAAAAGACCCTGACACACGTGTAGCATTTCCAAAGCACAGAAAAAAAGGTGGTCCTTTCTTGAAGTGCTTCTTCACACGTTCGACCTGCACCACGGCTGCTAAAGACACTTACAGTTCTATCCCCTACATCCATCACACATCTCTGTGTGGTTCCTGACTTCGCAGCCAGTCATGTCACTGTCTGACGTTCACCTCCTGCCCCGGGAGGCCGCGCTAAGCTTTTCACAGAAAAGCCTCATTATTTCCCTATGCACGAACGCCGTTCCGTTTCCCATTTACATTCGGGCAGCAATTAGCAGACAGCCTTTGCCTGTGGCCTCCTAACTGCACCACATCCGACCCCAAGGGGCGAGGGCTTCACAGGCAGCCCCCCCGTGCCGCATCCTTCCCGGCGGCCGCAGCGCACGGACCGGGGGCAGGGGAGGAGCCCGGGGCGCTGGCCCGGCCGGGGAAGGGAGGGCCGCAGGACCCCCGCCCGCCCCACCGGGACCGTCCCGGGGCACCCGCGGGGGCGCCCTGAGGGGCCCGAGCTCACCGGAAGCGGCCGCGCGGCACCGTCAGACTCCCCGACACGTCACCGCCGGGGCCGCCCCGCCCCCTGCGCGCGCTCGGCCCGTTGCCATGGGGACGGGCACGCGCGGAGGCGGTGCTGCCGCGCGCCCGCCGCCATCTTGGGGGAGGAGTCCCCGTCCCTCCCTCCTTTTTCCTTTCTCTTTTTCTTTTTTTCTTTTTCTTTTTCTTTTTTTCTTTTTTCTCTTTTTCTTTTTTTTATTTTATTTTTCTTTTCCTTTTTCTTTTCTTTTTCTTTTTTCTTTTTCTTTTCTTTCTTTCTCTCTCTCTCCCCCTTTCTCTCCCTTTCTCCTTCCTTCCTCCCTCCCTCCCTTCCTCTCTTTCTTTCTTTTCATTTTCTTCTCCCTCCCTTCACTTCCTTTCCTTCCTTCCTTTCCTTTCCTTCCTTTCTTTCCCCCTCCCTCTTTTCTTTCTTTCTTCCCTCCTTCTCTCCCCCCCTCCCTTCCTCCGCTCCTTCCTCCCTCCCTCCCTTCGGCATTGCCCTCGGTGAGGAGCCAAGCTGGAGCTGCCACAGCTGCGGCAGCAGCAGCAGAAGGGGATGGGAACTGCAGAGTTGAGCAGGTTTTGTGGCGCAGCAGTTATGGGAAGGTGGTATTAGTTATTAGTGGATTGTGGCATCACCACAATGTCACTTTGGATGCCAGCACCAGGAGGGGCATCCAAAGTGTGCCCACCTCGAGGAAAACACGCTGTCTTGCACTTGCCACTTGCCAAAACAAGAGAACTTTTACCTCTGGAAGGTGAGGTACCCCACACAAACACCCAGTGCTGACTGGGTCAGAAAGACTTTTGTGAATGTGAACACTGATGATGGACCGATGATTCAGGTGACAGCAGGGACACAAAGAGCTTTGACATTCAACAAGACCAAGTGCCAGATCCTACACTTTGGCTCCCAACAACCCCCTGCAGTGCTACAGGCTGGGGGCAGAGTGGCTGAAAGGCTTCCCAGTGGAAAAGGACCTGGGGGTGCTGGTCGACAGCCGGCTGAACATGAGCCAGCAGTGTGCCCAGGTGGCCAAGAGGGCCAATGGCATCCTGGCCTGGGTTGGAAATGTGGCCAGCAGGACCAGGGAAGTGATTCTTTCCCTGTACTGGCACTGGTGAGGCCACACCTTGAATCTTGTGTCCAGTCCTGGGCTCCTCAATTCAAGAAAGATGTTGAGGTGCTGGAGTGTGTCCAGAGAAGGGCAGTGAAGCTGGTGAAGGGTCTGGAGCACAAGCCTTAGGAGGAGCGGCTGAGGGAGCTGGGGTTGTTTAGGCTGGGGAAAAGGAGGCTCAGGGGTGACCTCATCACTCTCTACAGCTACCTGAAAGGAGATTGTAGCCAGCTGGGGCTCAGCCTCTTCTCACAGGCAATCAGCCTCAAGCTGTGCCAGGCGAGGTTTAGGTTGGACATTAGGAGGACTTTCTTCACAGAAAAGGTGATTAGACTTTGGAATGGACTGACTGCCAAGGGAGGTGGTGGAGTCACCATCCCTGGGCGTGTTCAAAGAAAGACTGGAAATGGCACTAAGTGCCATGGTGGTATTGACTCATAGATTGGACTCGATGATCTCAGGGGTCTTTTCCAACCTAATTTATTCTGTGATTCGGTGAAACTGGTTGGCACAATCACCCCTACTGCTGGCAGACCCGCGGTGACCTGTGGAAGCAGTGATGTGGGACTCAGTCAGCACAGCCATATGAAAACCGCTGCGCTCCATGTGTGTGGCAGGATCCCGCGTTTTTCTCCTCTAGGATGTGTGTGTGGGTACTAGCTGGGTGTTTTTCTGCCTCCATCAAGACAGCACCATCATTGGAAGAATGCTTTGATTTCCCAGAAGCGTGTGGTTGCCTTGTTGCATTATGTGTCATCTCTTCCAGCCACTGCTGACCTCTGAGCAATTACCAGGCTGCCAAACCCAACTCACTGTCACAGATCAAAAAAAACCACCCCCAGCACTGAACTTTTTGAACTGGAAACACCTCCATGACTAGGAACAAGGACTGGCTGACAGTGATGACCTCTCTTGCTGTCAGAGAGGGTGGTTAGCGTTTGCAGTGTGCAGCCCCGTGAGCCTCTTGTCTGCATACATCAAAAACCCAGCTGAAGCCACCCACAGTGCTGGAGCACAAGGGCAAGAGCATGTTGTTAATAATAATTTTGAAGTCCTGTGCCTAAGAAATGATTTATTTATGAAGAGAAGCTGAATGAGAAATGCAGTTCTTCAGGTGGGAGCTCTGTGAAGAGAAGAGACTGACATCCTGACCCTGGCCACTAACAGGAGTTTTACATCAGTGAAGCTCTAGAATTGATGGGCCAGGCCCTGATCTCTGCATGAGGAGCTTGCTGGGACTCAACACTTGACTATGGCTGAGGATGACATAGAGAAGACAGAGCCAGCCTCTTCCCAGAGTTTTTGCATAGCAAAATACAAGAGGCAGGAGTTGCAAGTTGTAAGATGGAATTATAGTGCAATAAAAGGGAAAAAAAAATCACTGTGAGGTTGGGTAAACACTGTTACATCAGCCCAGAGAGGTGGTGGATTATCCATCCCTAAACGTAGCGAAAATTTAACAGGGCAGAGTCCGGCACGCTGTGATCCTGAGAGAGACCCTGCAACACAAGCACACAGGGTCACCCTGCAGAACCTCCCCAAAGCTGACAGCTAATACAGACGAGAGCTCATTAAGCAAATGCCACAGGGCAGATCGTCGGCAGAGGCACAGCTCGAGCCTGCTTGTCCGTCCTATGTCCCGGCAGAACTGCTCCAGGGTCCGCGTGTCCCTCGCTGTCCCTGCGCTGTCTCCCGCGGGCTTTGCAGGGTCTCTCCCCTGGCCACCGACCTGCGCTCCATTTCTAAGGGGGCATCGCCACCGTGTGGGCACTTCCCTGGACTGCTGCTGCAGGAAGGGGCCTGGCTTCAGGGTTTGCGAAGTTGGGATATTTCTCCTATTTTACTGCAAGGAGAAATAGAGTAAAAAGAGTTTCTCCCCCCCTTCCCCCCGCATCTAGAAGAACACTTGCATAATGTAAATAATTTGCTTGTGCCCAAGGGGATTGTTTAGGGCCTTGTGCATGGCTGGGCAACAGTCTGGTTAAAAGAAGTTGTGAACCTCATTTCTCCTGCCGTCCACTTCCTTTCCTAGAGCTGCAAGGGAGAAGAATGAGCAGTGAATGTCTCATTTGCTGGCAACTCCTGCCGTCAGAAAGAAAGACAATAGACAGTACTGGCCTGAGGTGAAAAATAGGGCTTGCTGGCACTGACAAGGCCAAAACCTGTAGGTCTGACGTGCCTTGCTTTTGTGCTCTTCCAGTGATGTGTGCATGTTGTGCATGTCCTTTGGTATGTCCCTGAACACTGCCCTTTGTATGGGTGTGCTGACTGACCCTGCCTTTTGTGCACAGCTGCCCCAATGTGTCTGAGATCGATGGGATTCTTTCTGTTTGAGAGGGAGAATGACTCTGCATGTGCCCTACAGCCATGTCTGTCTCAATATCAGAAATTCACCTGATTGCCTTCTCCAAAGGGAAAAAAGTAATGACTTGTTGATGAAAATGGTTACCTAACATCCAAAAATATAAGGCTAGCCAACCTGTAAAAAAAAAAAATCCCACGAACCTGTTAATTTTCAAGAATAGGTCTGAGTAATTGCATCAAAAGTTTTGTCTTGAAAATTGGGCTCACTGCTTACAGTTTACCAATACAGCTTGGATCAAGAGGGCTCTGCTTACACATACAGATATTTTCTACCTCCATAAACACAATCACTGAAAACTTTGAGAGTCAAAACTCCCTTCTGTTTGTCTTTCATCATGTGTAATAAGGAGTCTGCAAGCAGATCACACGTTGCATGACTGGCTAGCTTCTTGGCACTCAGACACATTTCTGTGTACTGAGGCTGTGCCGAATCTCATGTTTCTGGCTGCTTTTCTGCTACTGTTTTCAGTGTCAACACAACTAACTCTGAGCTAACATCCTCCTTGACTGCTGCCCCTTGAGCCATGTTGTCTGTTTTGGGGGCAGCTTTCAGTAAGTGTGGGGATTGTATTCCCTACTCACCACTCCACAGCCTACCTGCCCTGTCCCTGCCCCACTTCTGCTGGGTGCTCCAAACACCTGCAGTGGCCTCTCTGTGGTGCAGGTGGGAGATGGCCTTATTGAGGTGGAATAGGAGACTGCTGCCGGGTGTTTTAATTTTCCTTCCTCTGAAATTTCTTGCATTTAGGATTCTCGGAGATTTACCCAGAGGGAAGTTGGGTGAAATGGACAATGCTTTGTGAAAGATGCTCTTTATTTCCACATGCACCAGACACACTTCAGTCCTCCATAGATTTCTCCTCCTATCAAAGAGATAGATCTCAGGAGCCTCTGCTCTTATCCACTGCTAAACACTGCTCAGTGCTGATCCCCAGAAGGTACAACTGTTACCTCTATGGAATCATTACTTGCAAAGACACTATTTGAAACTGAAAAAACCCAGAAGCTTAAAGCCTAATAGGTTTTTTGAGACCTTGCAGGTGGAAAGCATGAACCCTGGCTTAGGTGATGGGTTTTTATTTGTAAGGCAACTTTCAGCCTTTCCATACCAGGGGCATGACCACACACTATTGCACAGCCTGGGATCACTGCTGGTCTTGCAGGGTGCTATCAAACCTTGTGGTCCTTGGGATGAGCCCTTGGGGTGTTGAGCTCCACAATGGAATGATGACAGGGCATATGGGGGACCACATCTCATGAGCAGTGGCAGAGTGAAGGGTGGGAAACAGGCAGAGACTTGCCCTCTTTATGCATGGGTCTAATATGCCCAATTACCCCATCCTCTCC